TCCTTCTTGACATCCTCAACAGTCGTTCTGTAAACTATGTGATCTTCATGTCTTTTGAGATAGTTGTTGAGGTATCTCTGAATGACATGGCCCCGGACATATACATCATCAACTCTTTCATCTTCAGCTGTCTTCCAATCCTTATCATCGCTATACGTCATGAGCAGCTCTGGAATGTTGGTTCTCAGGCCTTTATAAGCAGCTGTGTGCAGGAACCTCTGCTGGTCAGCTCTAGCAGTTTGCAACTTATCCTCAAACTCTGGAATACTCAGCTGAGGATCCAAAGTGTTCTGGTCAACGCCTGGAGGCACGTCCAGCTCATCTGGGGCCTCATCAAGAACCCAAACACCACCAAGAACGTCTCTTCTCTCAAATAGCACTATCTCATCAAAGTGTGACTCTTGGATCAACGTATCCAGTGCGATGGCACCTGAAGCACCACCCCCGATGATGGCTACGGACTTGATCTTTGGTGCCCTCACCTCGTCTGTTAAGGTCATCGCAGTCTACAGCGTGAAGAAAGGATGAAGTGAATGTACTTTGAGGGAAATATACAGCTTATTTGTACTAAGATGGAAAAACAACAAGACCACAACCACAGTGTGTGTCCACATATGATGGTAATTGGTGGCATGAGCCATAATTGTGGAGCTAGGTGTAGATGCACTCCGATGTCCGCTCTGATTGCCTAAAACGGAAGTATAAGCACGCTCGGGAGTAAGAGCCCTTAAATGGCCCTTTAAGCAATGTCAGTCGAGGTCTGGTGAGTGTTGTCTGGTGATTTCTGCTCACCTTTTGAGTGGTCCATTGTGATTTTTCTTCAAGTGTGGAGTGTGGTGGTTCAGTATTGTTTCTTTTCCCTTCTACATTACTCTGCCTCTGACGGGCTTATTATGTGATTACCACCAATGGTGGAGAATTGAAGAGGCAGCAGAGGCCAGTGTTGGTACCTGGTCAATTCCCTGTAGTAATATTCGAAGGAAAGCCAGGTTTCGCACAACGGCCTCTGTGGAAGTAGACCAAAGCAACATGTTGATGGTGGAAGCTACAGACTGGAACAACGACTCTAAAAGGCATTACACTATGAACTGTACTTGTGAGTTTGTTCTTTCTCCTGAACTTCGTTAAATCTATGTCCACCAAACGTACCAGAACATTAGAAACAGCACTGCGAAGAACCCTAGCCATACCTTATACGGGATTCCTGATCTTTGAGCCATAACCAACATTCTATTCCACGTTCTCTTCAAGGTGCCCTGGAGTTGTTCGAATTGGTTTCCAACTTGATCCAGCACCTTGTTGGAGCTCCTAATCTCCTCGCCCATCTTTAAGCTCAGATCCTTCAACTGTGAGATCTTTTGGGCCATTACATTGGTCTGTTCTTCACTCTGAGACTCCATCTGTGCAATCCTCGAAGCCGAGTAGTCTCGCTGTTCAGGCTTGTCGTACGGTGATGCTACCCTTGGTGGGGCATCGAACAGCGCAGTTCTCTTGTTCTGTCTCGAAGCCATTGCACTGCTGCTCTAGCTATCGGTCCTTCTTTCCAAAATGGGCCACTCTCAATTGATTAATGGCATCTTGATCTTGTACAAATATCCCGAAGCCCTTTTGGGTGAGGAGCGTATACTCGAAAAAGAAACACCCGGACACCTAATCATCTGGACACCTATTAACCCGAACACCTATTAACCCGGACACCACTTATAGGCCTCGGTACTTACCGATGGCCTCCATTTTATTTGTGGGGTATTCAATACAATCGATGGAGCTTTCCGTGGGTATAAAGCATGAACAAGTTTCACATGTAACCAACTACTCACTGATCAACTTCTCAAGTCACAAAAGTTTTGCAATGTCCTTCAAAGCATCTGATTACACAAGATTTACCGATTTCAGAATCACATCACCAGCTCATGGAGTGGTCCATGTTGAGGTTAATAGACCAAAAAAGGTCAACTCGTTTGCTCAACAGTAAGTACAACTGGTTGCTATATTACAATTTACAGGACATGATTCTAACATGTGCGTGTGTGTGCCCGCAGAACTTGGGAACAGTATCGTGAGATCTTTGATCAATTGAACAAGACAGATACAAGGGCTGTGGTACTCAGTGGTGTTGGTAAGCACTTTTGTTCTGGTTTAGACATCAAGACAAGCTTGAAATCATTGGTTTCTATGGACCATCAGTCCGGTGAGCTTTTTATCAAGGAGTTTCAGGATTGTATTGCCTCACCTTTAAAGTCCCATATACCTGTGATTAGCGTCTCCCATGGTGTAAGCTATGGGCTGGCCTTGGACATTGTAAGTGCAACAACAATTAGACTGTGCACTGCCGATGTCAAGTTCAGTATCAAGGAAATCGACATTGGCATCATGGCTGATATTGGCTCGTTGCAAAGATTGGGCTACCTGGTTAATAACCAATCAAAGCTGAATGAATTGGCCTTGACTGCTAGAGACTTTGGCAGTGAAGCAGCGTTTGATCTGGGACTGGTATCAAATGTGTTTGAAGATAAGAAAAGTGCCATTGACAGTGCAATCTCCTTGGCCATTGAAATATCCAAGAAATACGCACCAGCTGTTGTTGGTACGAAGAAGCATTTGGAGATGATGACTACAAACAGTGACTGGTGCCATCATGGCTTGGATTCCGTTGCTAAGGATAATGCTAAGTTGATGTCTGAAGATGCCTATAGAGACTTTATCACGACATTCATGAAACAAATGATGTCTAGAAAGTCGAAGTTATGAATACTATTGGTGCCGAATGTGTCTTTATGTGATGTTCCACGCTAGTTTGGCTCTAGTAGACTACAGCAGAGGTTATACTGCTTACATGTAGTGATTCATGAGGTGGTATATAGAAGATGTTGCATATAGAATTAGACGTTCTATAGTCTCAGAACAAGTATAAAAAGGCCGTATACGTCCTGCTCAGGACAGAACCTTCGAGGACTGTAAAAGGAGCAGATATATCTGGGCTAGCCATTCCGACTTCCTGGAGATTCTCGACGTATTTACTCCCAATTGGGCCTTCAGCACTTGGGAAAAAAGTAACAGGCTGGTGGCATCTGCTTCTAAGGAAGCATTTCCAGTATCATGAGCGATGATCGAAATTATAGAATCAATCACATGAGGACATCTTCACAAGATGTCAATCCTACCATACCAGTACCACGTCCCCCTTCTTCACAGAAATACACGCTACCTGAACCGTCATCAAGGTCCGAAACGTCCTATATCTCTGGCTGATCAGTTGTCATCACCACAGTAAAAATAGCGTAGCTTCGAACAGAACTATCATTTACTACTTATTACTCTACAAGGCACCGATTTACAACACCGCTCGCGCCCATTGAATCGACCCTTTGCAATAAACACGGTGTGTTCCACATTATGGAAGAGTCTCTATGAGTTATAGATTGCTTAATTACCCTTGTCCCGTTGAACTTTGCAATGGAAGGTTCTCATAGTGAGTGGACGAGAATGCCGTCCCCCGGGCAACGGCAACAAACCAGCTGATTGGTGTCCGGGTGTATCTATCTTCCGCCAATTTTCGCAAGTTTGCGCAATTTTGCATAAATGGACAAAACTCTCGTCTCGACAAGTTATGTCCTCATCTCCTTCCATCGCAGAGCTGTTTACATAGTGGTTTACATGGTGGCTCGCCGTATTTGTTCTCTAAAGCCATCAATCGAATGATCAGAAGAGCCATGTCCAAAGAGAGAAGATCACCACCTGTTAAATTGGAGAAGCTGAGATCTGAATCTGGTTTCCGGGCAAAGAAACAAGATGTTCATGATAGCAGGGCCGATGAGGACAAAGTACAATACAAAATCGAAGGCTTATACCGTGAAGTGTTGCCTTACTACTTTACGTACTTGACCTACTGTAAGATGAGATGGCGTGATAGAAAGCTGATAGATGTCTTCACCTCCGAATTCAGGGATCGATCCGAGGAGTACTACAGGAAGACCATAAGTGAAGGGAAAGTGATGTTGAACGATAAACCGGCGAACTTGGACTCTGTGATAAAGAATGGTGATTTGATTAGTCATAGAATCCATAGACATGAGCCCTGCGTGACTTCAAGACCTATCAAGATCGTTAAGGAAACTGACGAGTTGATCATCATTGATAAGCCTTGTGGTATCCCAGTGCATCCTACTGGTCGTTATAGGTATAACACCGTGACCAAGATCATGAAGTTGGAAATGGACAAAGAAGTCCACCCTTGTAACAGATTGGATAGGCTTACATCCGGACTGATGTTCCTCGCCAAGAACCCTAAAGGTGCTGATAAGTTTGTCGAACAGTTGAAAGCCCGTGAAGTTAAGAAGGAGTACATCGCAAGGGTCAAAGGTGTCTTCCCTGATGGCGAAATCACAGTAGACAAGCCGTTGTTCACTTTAGAACCACGCCTGGGTTTGAATATCGTCGACGAAGAACGTGGTAAGCCTGCCACCACCATCTTCAAGAAGATCAGCTCCGATGGAGAAACCTCCATTGTTAAAGCTATGCCACATACCGGCAGAACCCACCAGATAAGAGTTCATTTACAATACTTGGGCTTCCCAATTGCTAATGACCCTATATACTCGAACGTGAGTGTATGGGGAGAGTCCCTGGGTGCTAAGGGAGAAGCTGATCATGACAAAGTTATGGCAAAATTGCATGAGATTGGTAAGACGAAACCTGCAAGCTCCTGGTTGTATCCAGACTCGCAAGGTGAAGTGCTATTAAACAAACAGTGTGAAGAATGTGGCACCGAGCTCTATAGCAAGCCTGGTGCAAACGACTTGGATCTATGGTTACACGCATATAGATACTACTCCACTGACGATTCAGACCCGTGGAGCCATGAAACTGACTTCCCAGACTGGGCAATTGAGCCACATCTCAGATTCATGTCATTGGCTTTGAAAGAGGCTCAGAAATGTGAACCAACCACAACGGCATTCGGCGTCGGCTGTCTGCTTGTACATGATGGTGAGATTCTCAGCACCGGCTTCTCCAGAGAACTTGAGGGTAATACCCACGCAGAGCAGAATGCATTGGAGAAATTGTATCTGGAGACAGGTGAAAGAGACGTCCCAGAAGGCACTGTCTGCTACACCACCATGGAGCCCTGTTCGCTGAGATTAAGTGGCAATGAGCCCTGTGTCGACCGGATATTGAAGACGAGGATCTCGAGCGTCTTTGTCGGGGTCGTCGAGCCTGAAACGTTTGTCAAGAAGAACGTTGGATTGCAGAAGCTACGTCAAGGTGGTGTTTCATACATCAAGGTGCCTGGGTTCGAAGATGAGATCCTAAAGGCCGCCTTTAAAGGCCACGAAGACCATAAGTAATTCATACCGTTAGAATCGTCTCTCTATGCTAATTCCAACCGTGTGGTTTATTCACACCCTTCCACTACAATTCATTGCGATTAATTGACCAAATAAGAACATCCGTTTACGGAAAAAGCCCTAAAATGTCTGTATATGCATGCTGTACGCAGTGTGAAAAAAATGGAAAAAAGCTGCGTTAAAGTCATCGAATTGTCAACATTGAAATCAAAACAAACCGTTGAGATCGCCTTCCATCCACTGATTGCTGGAGAAATGGATCTGTATAAGCATTTCCCTCGCTCGAGACTCAACTTTTCACATAGCTTTACGAGCTATTTCGCACTGTTGAAGAAGCATGACATAACTGTTATGGATCTGTTGACAACCTCACCAAGGGAACTTGGTTTGAAAAGTGGAATCCCTGAGAAGGAGTTGGTCTATTTCGTGGAGACTCTGAGGAACGAGACTCCGGTGATTGGTAAGCTGAAGCCAGCCGAGTGGGTCTCCACAGGTGACGACGTGATGGATTCAACTCTGTGTGGTGGTATTGCGGTTGGATGTATCACTGAGATCTTCGGTGAAAGCTCCACTGGGAAGTCCCAATTGTGTATGCAACTGACACGAAGTGTTGCACTAGCAGGCTGGAAGAGCGTATATATCTCTACTGAATCCTCGCTTGAAACACGAAGACTCCAGGAGATCAATCCGGACCTGAACTCTGTGTATTGTATCAACTGTACTGATCTTGAGTCGCAACAGCACATCTTAGAGGTTCAACTGCCGTTATTGCTGAAACAGGGTGGTTTTAAACTTGTCATCATTGACTCAATATCACACCACCTCCGAGTGGAACTCTCAGCTGGAGGTAGCTACAGGAGATTTGTTGAGAATCGCCATAGGCTTCTTGAGATCAGCAGTCACTTGAACGAGCTCTGTGATGAGTTCGCCGTTGCACTTGTTGTCACTAACCAAATAAGTGATTTCCCTGAAAGGGAGATCATTGATAGCGAATACAAGCCCATCTCTTTCGATTATCAGCTTGGATGGTTGAGTGGCTGGGACGACGCGACTATAAGAGGCATGGACTTTGCAAAGGGTATGATTCCAAGCCTTGGGTTACAATGGAGTAATGCTGTAAGTATTCGAATCTTGTTAAGGAAATGGTATAAACATAACGATGTTGAATCTGATAGTTACTGGAAAGCTAAAAGAATATGTCAACTGGTGTTCTCGGAGTATTCAACCAGTGAAACTGAAAGACAGTGTGAATTCAGCATAACAAACAACGGAATCAAATGTTCACGTTATCACTGAGGCATTCGACATGAAGTGATTTACAGGTGGTTGCTCTTGATGTTTCTGCTGTTGCTGTTGAGAATCATCCTCCATTATGTCGTCGTCAAACATCACCTCATCGTCGCTATACGTCAAGTCATATTCTTCGCCATCCATGTCGTTGTCGATTACAACGTTATCACTTCTTTTGCTGGTCAAAGGCTGTAATCTCGGGGAGTTATTGAGTCTGAATCCGTCGAGGTATAAGGATGCAACCCTCTTCTTCTTCTTGTTGAAGATGAACCACTTCATCGTCCAGAGTTGGCCAGGTTCTTCGCTGAGGAAGAACTTTTCATCGTCTTCAGTGTTGAGCTCGAAGTAGACACAGTCCTGTAGGTCCATCTGGGAATTTACAATGTCCCAGAGAAACTCCATATCTTCGCTCTTCCCCAAGGATATGAGCGTGTTGTCAAACTTCGATCTCAACGAGCTGAAGGAAATCTTGATGAAGTCCATTGGTTCCAACGAGGTGAAATCGTTATCAGGGTATTGGGCATTGAGTATGCCAATCAAGTAGGCAAACACCTTGCGGCTTGTCGACTCGCTCAGTGGGCCAAATGGAGTTGTGTCCAGCGACTTTGGCGACGAGCCCTCGTGGCCATTGTGATGGTCACTCGAACTGCTGCTGAACCGTCTCTTTGCCTTTATAAACACCTCGTCGCTGTTACTTGGAGGTATGAATTTCGTCTCCGTGTTCTCCAATATCGCGTCAAACTGCCTGTCCACAGTCTTGTACAACTTCCTATCCGACTGGACGGGCTTCGTCGTGAACAAGTCACAGCCTCCAGTTATATGGCAATCACCTGTGTCAAAGTTGAGAAACTGGTTCACCAGCTCAATGTCTGCTTCGTCTATGAACTTCATCTCTTGTCCCTTGTCGCTGCCTGTCTCTGTGCTGAAGGTGACGTGTGTTGTTAGCTGAGCAACGCCAATTAGTACCCGGGTCTGGTCGCTCAACGAGGTCTGCTCAAGCGTTGTTTATGTCTCGGTCTCTATCTCTCGGGAGGGATGGAGTGTGTACGTATCGTTGTTATCATCAACTGGTTGCACGGGGGACGGGGACGCGAAACAGCGATGGGTCTGGTTACCCGGAGGACGGTGTTGACGATGATTGGCTGAGCCGCCTCCCGCCTCCCCGGGGGCTGGTGGGTGGCTGTTGCCAGGCGTATGCTTACATAATGCTTATATAATCACGTGTGCGTCACGTGTTTGTCACGTGAATATTACGTCACGAATGTTACAGCTGAGATGTTCCACCATCGAATTTGATTTGGGAATACACCGTTGATTTGGAAAATGGCATTTGCTATATATAACATTCCTGATACACCACATTCCGGTCACTATTTGGTTACATTCTCGTTATAACTATTAGAGCTACTTGGATCACGCCATATCGGGATTCGAGTATCCCACAATGGTTTAAAGGACAGCCTTTGAACCATCGTATTTCCTCCCTCCCAAGTTCCTAAGAACTAGCCTTTTTATATTCTCTATCTCACACTGTTTGAAGAATTATCTAGTGAGCATTATTTACAAGTTCACCTGGCACACCCCGAGCAAAGTAACACACCACACAGGACTTATTGGTGCTACAACATACACTGTGACGTCGGTATAATTAGAACACCATACGCTGAACCCGATGAGCACACAGGCACACGTAGCAAGCAACAAACGCAAAACTCCCCGAAACAGGATGTTTCCCAATTAGGAATATGTCACGCCTGCAATCCGCTGCACATATTCTGAAATTCGCAAGTGAGACCTGCAATAGAAAAACTCGTTTCTTTGGCAACAGTGTGACAAAAAGCCCCCAAACTTGCGCAAAAAGCAAGAGACTTCAGGCCCCAGAGATGAAAAAAATTATATATACAGGGGATTAATTTCTTCCTTTGCTAGCCCATCTCTCTTGTTTATATTCTTCCTTACTTGACCTTTTCACTGCTTTAAACCGCTGAATCATCACCAAAAGCACACTACAACAATGGCTGGTGATTCGTCGGATGGCTCCTCCACCTCTGCGGTGATCTCTTCACTGATCTTCTATGGAATCATTGGTTCCATCATCTACTTTGCGTTCTCCATGCTGAGACCGAAAGAGCGCCGTGTCTATGAGCCGAAGACCATGGAGTTGGCGAAGACCAACAGGGAACAGGTGCCACCGAGTGTCCCTGGCGGCCCTGTCCAGTGGGCGCTGTTTTTGTTCAGACAGCCGCGTTCGTTCTTGCTCCAATACGCTGGTGTTGATGCGTATCTGTTTTCACGTTACGTGGGCATGTTTGCCGGTGTTTCGTTGCTCGGTTGCTTCATTCTGTTGCCAATTCTGCTGCCTGTGAATGCCACTGGCGGCCAGGACTTGCCAGGATTCGACCTGCTGGCGTTTGCCAACGTGACAAACAACAAGAGATACTATGCTCATGTGTTTTTGTCCTGGCTCTACTTTGGCTTGGTTATGTTTGTTATTTACAAGGAGTTGATCTTTTACATCTCCTTGAGACACTCGATCCAGACCTCCCCGTTGTACGACGGTTTGCTCTCTTCCAGAACTTTGCTTTTGAGTGACATTAGCGAGAAATATACTGATGAGGACTCCATTAGAACTTTCTTCCCTACAGCTCAGAGAATCTGGTACGCCAGAAACTTCAAGGAGTTGGAGAAGCTGACCGAGGAGCGTTCCAAGTTGGCTGGTAAGTACGAAGGTGCCTTGAACAAGATCATCTCTAAGGGACTAAAGTTGAAGAAGAAACTCGTCAAGAAGGGCGAGGCCTTGCCTCAAGAGCCTCAAGGCTACATCAAGAAGGATCCAACTCATAGATTGGGTAAAATTCCATTCATTGGTAAGAAAGTTGTCACTGTGGATTACTGTATTGACCGCATTGATGAGCTGAACAAGGAAATTGGGGAAGCTCAAAAGACTCCAGAAACAGCTAAGTTGATGTCGTCTGTGTTTATTGAATTCCCAAATCAGTTGGAGGCCCAAAAGGCATATCAGGCGGTTCCATATACCAAGGACTTCAAATTGCGGGCCTTGGGTTGTGCACCAGATGATATTCTTTGGCCAAACTTGTCTCAGAAGACCAAGGAGCGTGCTTCAAGAACAACGGCTGCTAACTCCTTCCTCAGTGCCATGATTATCTTCTGGGCTATCCCTGTTGCCGTTGTCGGTTGTATTTCCAATATTCCTTTCTTGACTGATAAGATCCATTTCTTGAGATTTATCAACAACTGTCCTAGTGTAATCCTCGGTTTGATTACTGGTATTTTACCAACTGTTGCCTTGGCCATCTTGATGTCTTTTGTTCCAGTGATTATCAAGAAGGCTGGTAAAATGTCGGGAATGATTACCGAACAACAAGTTGAACTGTACTGTCAATCTTGGTACTTTGGATTCCAAATCGTCCAAGTCTTCTTGGTTGTTACATTGGCTTCCTCAGCTTCGTCAACGGTCACTGCCATCATTGACGATCCAGGCAGTGCAATGACCTTGTTGGCCCAAAACTTACCAAAGGCATCCAACTTCTACATTGCTTACTTTTTGCTTCAAGGTTTGATGACACCAGCAATGTCCTTGTTACAAATTGGTCCATTAATCTTGTCAAAGGCTTTGAAATTCTTACAAAACACTCCAAGAAAGAAATGGGAAAAGTACAACACTTTGTCAATGCCTTCATGGGGTGTGGTTTACCCTCCTCTACAGTTGTTGGTCTGTATCTTCATCATTTACTCTATTATTTCTCCTTTGATTTTGTTGTTCTCCACCTTCACGTTTGGTATGCTGTATTTGGGTTACCTCTATCTCATCGTCTATGTTTATGGTCAACCACAAATTGACATGAGAGGTCGTAACTATCCAAAGGCTCTGTTCCAAACATTTGTCGGGCTTTACCTTGCAGAGATTTGCTTGTTGGGTCTGTTTATCATGGCCAAGACTTGGGGTCCAGTCGTGCTGGAGGCCATTGTTTTAGGTGTTACAGTTTGTGTGCATCTGTTCTTGAGATGGAAGTTCGAACCTCTCTTGGATACAGTTCCAATCTCCGCTATTAAAGAGGCCAGAGGTGAAGGTGCTCTCTACCCACAAAAGGACCTCGGTTTGGCTGAGATTAAGGAGACTGGTAAGAACTTTATCGATCATCATGATGCTAATGCATTCTCTGACAGCAATGGTCAAAAGGAAGAGATTGAACCAGCTGTTGCGACTGCAAACGGTGATTCTGCATCTTCCAGAAATGAAACCGTTGTTGCTGGTGCAGGTGTTACGACTCGTCAAGAAACTGCAGCTTCAGCAGAGGCTGCTTTGCAGGATGATATCAACCATGCTAACTTCAATACCTTGGAGGAGCAGGCGAAGACAAATCCAAAGCAAGTTTTGAAACGTTTCTTCAACCCTAAAGATGGCTATAACTTTGCCCTGATCCGCTCTCAACTGCCTCATTACTTCAATTTGACCACAACATATTCTTCTTCTTACTTGGATGGTGCTTACAACCATCCAGCCATCACCGATGAAGAACCACACATTTGGATTCCAAAGGATCCACTGGGTATCTCTGAGTATGAAATCTCTAAGGCCGACGATAAGGTTGACGTTAAAGATATCAACACTGAATATAACGAAAAGGATGCTTATGAAGTCACAGGTCCTCCACCTGCCTATGAAGAAGTTATCAAGGCTTGAAACAATGTTGACTTTAAACTTATGAACTACTTCTTTTGTTTTGATTTTCCATGGTGTTTTGCCTTTTTCTTCCTTCAACTATACACTTACAATTACTACTAATCTTGCTGATCGCTGATGTCCTTCTTTTATTTGTCTAATTTTTAATATCTTCTCTTTACAATTGACGTTCAATTTATAATTACACTGTTGTAGAGGCTTTCTGTCTTCCATCATCAAAAGTAGGCTGGCTCTTGGGGGTCTGCGAATAAATAATCTGGTGTACGGGTTAATAGGTGTATGGATGTCAAATCACGTGATTATGTGATTATGTAATCGAACTGAACCTTCCTTCTGAAAAATGAGCGTCCAAGCCCTTCAGTTCACCACTTTCACGGGTTCTTCTCAGGTGGAACGAAGGGGACAACGATGTCGATATCTACAGGTAACACAGATGAGCAATGGAAGAACAAGTGCAAGCAACTGAAGCGTAAGATAAACCAAATAGAAGAGGCTAGCAAAGTAGCTTCGTTGTCAATTTCACGTGGTAAAGTTGCTGTTAACAGGCTAAAACTGGAATACTCTATACTATTAGAAAGATTAGAGGCAAAGGCCGTATTACCTCAGGAGAGTGAATCAGACGACGATGATGAATACGCAATCACAGAAGGGAAGAGAGTTATAAAGAGGAAGAAACCGATGGTTTCACAACCAAGAGACCCAGATTTGCCAAAGAGACCACTAAACCCATACTTGGTGTTTTGTGATATGGAGAAGGAAAGAATCAAGAAGGAAGCCGAAGCTGAAGGCAAAGATATCGACTTGTCAAAGACTTTGGGTGAGTTGTGGAGAAGCATGAGTTTAGATGATAGAAAGCCATACGTGAAGGTCTACAACGAGGACAAGGAGAGGTATCAGAGACAGATGTCAGAATACGAAAGTAGAAACCCAAAGAAACAGAAGTTGGAGCCAAAGACTGAAAATCCACCATCAGAATCTTGATGATTTTGGTGAAGATGATGACGAAATTTAACACGTGTGTACTACGATTAAAGCCTTTTCTTGTTTAGTGTTATATGTATAATTTTGAATTAAAAATGCTGTACTATTTTTTTTTCTAAAGATGCTTCTTCTTCTTGGTGTGATAGAATCCATTCTCGTCCTTCTCATGTTTTCTTTTAATTCTACTTCTCTCGTGCTTCTTCTCCTTTCTTCTTGCTGCCTTATCAGGTGCAGTGATTGCCAGACGAGCTCTCTTTGTACGTCTGTCTTGACGTCTTCTCAATACAAGCTGGTTGACTTTAGAGTAATGACCTGTATAATCACTAACCCCAATCTTATCCTCGATCAACTTCATACACTCAAGTGCCAAGTTTTGAACTTCGTTTTTAGCCTCGTCATCAGTCTCGTTCTCAACAAGTGTAAAGAGTGGTAAGATCATATCCTGAGCCACTTCGTTCAATCTAACAACATCCAAGATCTGTACACACATGGCTAGGAATTGAACACCGGCTCTCTTGGCCGCCAAATCCGATTTTTCAGATCTAACAACCGCACTGGCTCTTTTGATGGCCCAATTAGACATCCTATGTTCAGGTTCTGTAGATTGGGCATCTTCTTCGTCGTATTCATTTTCACTTTCATCGCCCTTTGAATGAAGTCTTAGTGAGTTATCAAACAGTGTTCCATTTTGTTCCCAGCGCATCATCGCAATGGTCAAAGATTTAACAGCTTGGGATCCCAATCTTTCATCAATACTTGGTGCATTCAATTGGTGGAAGACCCTGTAAGAAACGTTCTGGAGATCAGCATCGCTAAAAAAGTCTCTTTTCTTTGATAGCAATACACACAATAGACGAGAAGCTGTAAGTCTCACCCATGAGTGTGGGAACAAGAGACAAGAGATCACATCTGCCTTCAACTCTTCGTCAAAAACGTTAACATCCTTCTCAACAACATGACTTAGGCATGTTAATGCAGTGTAAACCAATTCCCATTTGACATCAACTTCAGAATCAGATCTGGAAGTGTGCAACGTTTCCTTGATATTCAACAAGACATCATTATCCAACTCCGATTCTGCTTCAAATCCAGATACTTTTACTTTAATTCTGTAAAGCTGTAATGAACATTTTAGCAAAGCAGAGTTCTTTGAGTTCATCCATCCCCGGATAAATTTCTCAAACGGTTCTGTTCCCTTCTTCTCAAAAATTGAGGTGATCAAAGCAATGGCCATCTCTCTACTCTTTGTTGAGGTTTCAGAAATCAAAACCTTAGATAACGCAACGAAGAACGAGGAAGATAAGGCTTCTAACAACTCAGGGCCACATTTTTGGATAATCAAGTGTAACAACTCCATTACGGATTGTTTACCAGTTTCAGATGGGTAACTCAAGTTATTGACGAGGAACTTAAACTGCTTTTCCAAACGACCACGACCTTGATCGTACTCCATAAGGAATTGGAAATAGATACTTCTTGACATATCTCTTCTCTCCTTTGAATGACTCGTAACCATAACTTCCCTGAGCTTATCCATAATCTCATACACTTCGGGAAGCATGATACGCTTCGAGACAACAGCTCTCAAGAAGTTAAATACCAAAGCTTGACAAGTCTGTTCGCTCAAATCAGGTTGGATCTTGACAAGCAAATAACCAAGTGAACTTTCCTTCAAAGAAAGCTCCTCTCTGTGACGAATCACAACAGAGAGGTACTTGAAACAAGATTGCACAATTTCAGATTCCGTAGATGGAAAGTTCTTAATAATCTTTAAACACTTTCTGGCAGCTAACTTGAAAATGTCACCTTCCGAATCAAAGTCAACATGTATGGTTTTCTCAAGGATCTTCAACGCACTAGTTATAACAGCCTCATTTTCAGATTCTAAAGCGACTTCAAAGAACGGAATGAACCCAGACAGGCACTCAGCATTGATAAAGTTTGGATTTTTGTTCAAAGTCGTTCTTAATAACTCCAGTGATAATCTCTGGAAGGTGTCAACGTAGACAGAGTTCTCATTAACAACTCTCTGACTCTTAGATGAAAGTTGAACAAGGAAATGCTTCTCGGAATCTTTCATGGTTGGCTCCCTTCTATGCGAGGTAAAGTCCTTTTCTGATTCCTTGAAAAGTTCAAAGCAAAGAACTAGCATATCCTGTTTTGTGGAATCCTCGTTCTTATAGATACCCAGCGAGAATCTCCTCAACAACTCATCAAGTTTGTTCTGAATCTTCAAAGTGATTCTCTCCTCCAGCAGAAGTTTTATTGGCTCAACAACGAAATTGAAGCATGAGAGGCTAATAACACGAGTCAAAAGTTCACCGAGATCATAAGACTTGTTATGCTTAACCTCCTTCATCGAGGTTCTATAACCATCAGCCTCCTTTTCTTGACCAGTACCACCAAAAGTGTTCTCCATAATGATATCCATGATCAAACTTGCAGATTCATCGAGATCACCATGGGAAAACTCCATAGAGGACACAATGGAATGAACAGTAAATCCCAAGACGTGGATTTGAAATCCCCTTGCAAGTGCAGTTTTCAATTCCTTGATGATGAATTTGATGTATTTTGGTCCAAGGGTTCTGGAAGCTCTACCTAAATGCTTTCTCACAGCATCACGCAACTCATCTGATCTCGATCTCAAAATTTGACAGATTTTGGTTAAAACACTTGGAAGGATAATCACAATACGATCATGGCTTAAACACAAAATCAGACATGAAAGAGCCTCTATCAATGGTGTTCTGAAAACAATAGTCTCCTCGTCTCTCTTGTTCAATATCTTGGATAATGGCTCAATCATTTCCTGTTCCAATTGAACATCAAGAATATCATGCTCAGATGGAATTCCCTCCATTCTCTTGGATTCATCACTTTCTGCACGTTGCACATTTTTCAACAATGCCTTTGCAATTGTGACAATCAAGTTGACAGAGTCACGAAGGGTTTCGCTTCCTTCTTTCAAACCAGCCATGTATCTCTTAAAAACAGCCATAAACTGCTTATAAGTCACACAACTAATTAGCTTCTCAATTGTCAGAATAGTCTCGTTGGAAATGTTACGAAACTTCTCATCAGACACAAACGCATAGTGTTCGATCATTGGCAATATATAGTAAGCAATATTCGAACCAGATATCTCAGATGCAACCTGCCCAAGTCTTTTAATGGCTCTTTGACGTCTATGCAACTGGATGTGGTTGATGTTCATAAAGAAGTTAGCCTCATCATCGTTGTTAAAAAGTAACACCTTCAAGTCTTCAAAATCACCGACATGCTTGATGTTCGAAACATAGTGTGCAAAGACTGTAATGAATTCTGTTTGCACAGCTTCATCTTTGTTCCTGATACCAACCCTCAAGTTTGACAAGATAAGATCCTTGAAGAGACGGATCATGTCCTTGTCTGCCTCTTCTTTCTCGGAGAAAGCATCTGCAAATCTTCTCAACGTATAAGATGCGTTGGTTTTGATTGCCAAATCGTCAACCTCGGTTAAGAAGAATAACGAAGTGTTAAGAATTGGGAGCCATTCTAATGAAGTCAACTCCTGGTATGTGGTTTCATTAATCTCTCTAAAAGCATCAAGTCTTCTATCATAGTCAAACTCTGCAAGACCTCTCTTTGAGAAGCTGTTCAACTCTGTTAAGTAATTGGCAACACGAGAGTAGTCTTCAAACTTATTTCCAATCTCAACAAATAACTCAATAAGAACATCACGTTGTTCCCTATTTGTGAAGAACTTTAAGAACTTGGAAGATACCTGGTAGAGATGTTGAACCTGTTGGAACTCCCCATGAAATTCTTCAATTAAAGCCTTCAGTGTCCTCAAAACTTGGAGTTTACTCTCATTGGACAGTTGGGCACTTGGCTTTTCGAGCATTTGAGTAGCAACATTAACAAGGGAATTTCTTCTCTCTTGATCCTCCACATAGTTGTTCTCAACAAGAGCCAAGAGTAAGTCAATAATCTTTGCATTCATATGGGGCTCAGTGATGCGAGACAAGATTGTTTCCAAAGAACTGAACACTTGAGTAGAGACCAGCTTAGTCAACCCATCGTACTTTGTCTTATTGTGGACCTTCTTGATGATGTTGGTACAGAAATCAAGTACAATAGATATGACTTCAGGTTTGGCCTTTGGGTTTGGAAGCAACGACAGAAGTTTTTTGGAAGGTTCAAGGTCGTTAATCAACAATAAATCCAAATGACTCTTGTACTGGGACCAGCAAACGATGATTTTCACTAGAGACGATGCTTGTTGCAGGTTTTCTGTTTCGAAGTTGACAAACCTTGGAGCAAGAACCTTTTCATAAATGACTTCAATGTACTCATCCCAAGAAAATTCGTTTAACAGGTCAAACAAAGCCAACAAATTCTTCAGTCCAGATGATCTTATGTTACGAGCAATGACATCAACATGTCTCTCCGTAGAGCCGCTGTTTATAACCAATTCAGCACACACAAGGGATTGTAACAACGGTCTGATCGTAATCTTCAACTCTTCCTTGCACTTTTCACCTAAAGTCTTTATTAAGACACCCAATAAATTTGTGAAACCCAAGTATCTCTTCAACATATGCAAAGACAACTGGTCAGCTTCAATTGTATCAAAATCCATAGTCACATCATTGTTGCATACTCTCTCTGAAACAATATTCAAAAAATCGACAACGTATTTTGGACTTAGCTGTGGAAGAACTGTAACAGCACCAAAGTTCAAGCTCTTCTTAGCACCACTAACGTTATTGTTCTGAGCACGTCCAAAGATGATTCTCAATATCAATGGCATGATAAATGGTTCATCTTTATCTTCGATGACACAATCTTCACCCTTCGATGTAATTTTCTGAATTTCATCACGGAACGCAGCGTCATCCAGCAAGTTGGTGAGCGTATCCTTATACTTCATAACCTGTGGATTCTTGAAATTAAGTAAACACTGCAGGGAAATCTGTCTGATCTCGGGTGTTCGGCTTGATAAGAGAGTTAGGAGTCTCTGATAAAGCTCGTCGGCTCTTGGAATAGACTTCAGCTTCTTGAAATTGACAAACAACTCCAGCAGTGCAGATCTTTCTGTTTTATTCATCAAACTCACTGAGTCCTCATTATCTTCCAATGAGTTGTCTAGAACCAAAGCAACAATGTTCTTGGAGTTCTTCTCAACAAGTTCTGGGATCTTCTTCAACGCAGCAATAGCATGAAGACACATGAACTCTGGATATTGTTCCGTCTTGTATGACTCTTCCACTTCGGTAAGAATAGACTGTTCTTTATTCAAGTACTCTGAAATCACTTTCTTAAAGGAACCGATAATTGTGTTTAGTCTATTATCAATAATCACCCATCCATCATCGCACTTAATGAGGTCGTCTTCCATACCGCTGTAGAACACAGCCTGTCCATCTTTATACGAGCCAATGACGAAGTTATATAAAGTCTCCCACACAACGTGTCTATTCTTGTGCAAGACCGATGGTAAAACTTCGTAAACTATCTGCCAGGATGGTGAGAATCTTACGGAAAGCATACCCAGCAAATACTTCAAGAATACCTCGGATCTCAAATCTTCCATAGTATCCAAGTTACTGAAGCTTTGAGCAAAGGTTCTCATTCTTAGTTGAATATCACGACCGTTCGCCATAGTCAATGGAATCTGTTCAATGATTTCACATTGGTTAGCAATAGTTATTAACTCTTCGTCGTTACCGTTTGCTAGACACCTTATGAGTTGCAATGAAGCAGTTTTCAACGCATGGTTTGGGGTGATCAGGTTGTTTGAGGTTAAAGCAATCAATTTCTCAGCATCAGCTGTGGCCAATTTGTGGTCTTTTAGATAGTTGTAGGCACAAGTCATGAAGATCAGATTTTTGTGCAACTTTTCAAAGTTATTCAGGACGATTTCAGTTGTTGGATCATATCCAGTGAGTGAGAGCAATGAAATGGTTTTTGATATAACTGTTTCTTTGAACTCTGATTGATCTTGTATGTCATTTAGTTGGTCTAAAAGTCCAACAAAAACCGATGAATCGAGATTGGAACTGTACGATAAGATACACAATCTCCAATAAACTTCATACAAAGCATCTGAGTTAGAAATAGAGAGCTTCCTGAGTTCATCAAGCATGGAATTTGTGAGAGCAGATGGAATGCTCAATTTAAACTTTGTTTGGTCATCGTTTCTTGTGATGAGCTCTCTTTTTTCCAAATTCTGGATGAAAAAAACTATAGCTTCTGCATTCCCAGTCCAACTCTTATTTATAAAGTCTTGCACAAAAGAACGGGAGTACTTCAATGTTCTCTCTTTGCACAAGTCCAAAATTGAAATTATAAATGGCAAGAAAAAGGACTGCAAAGAAGAAACAAAATGTAAAAGCTTTGCGTGGAACTTCGTCAACGTTTGAATCTCACAGTTACGGAAGAAGATCGAAGCCAAGTAAACAATAAGATCACAAGTAGAGTCATCAACAGTTTTCAAATCAATATTTGCAATCACATCATCTATTGATTCAGTAATCAAAGACCAATCAGGAATTTTCTTACCTGAGTCTGCAAATATTAGAACCGTAGTGACTTTGATGTAATGGTTGATGTAACTCTTGTCCTTTGCCAAGTTTTCCCTATTGATGGTTACAATGGTGGAATACACTTCTTCCACTGCCTCTGGTGAGCCGTAATTCAAAACACTAAGTAGGATGTCACAAAGCACAGAGGATGACCTATCAGAGTTCAAATTATTGAAGAGCGAACGAGTCATGATCATAAACTTTGAATGGATAGATCCTTTTGTAGACTTCATGGATTCACTAAACAAAGTTACAATGGACTTGACATAAGTTTCGTCTTCGGTTTCAATGTTCACAAATGCCACTTCAGTGAACTTGATTAGTTCCTTCTGTGGGGTCTTTCTCAACAAAAAGGACAATGCTTCCGCCGAAAATCTGGAAATGTGCTCTTTTGAATGGAACAGTGGTTCCAAAAGGTTAAAAGTCGGTACCAGGTCCTCGGTCAAGACTTTAGCCAAGTATTTGAAGATGAATCCCAAACAGTTGAACTCCCATTCCAAAGTCTCGGATGTGTTCTCTCTGATTGCCATCTGTGTGATGAGCGTAACGGTCTTTTCGTAAAACTCCATGAAATCAGGACCCAGATCATGGCAGAACTGTGTAAGCAGTTCTGTCAGGGGATGCAACGAGAGAGAGTCACCCTTCTCCAAAGATTCGCACAGTTGATCAAAGATGAACTGGCGGTAATGGATCAGCTGCGGAAGAGATTGGCATTTTGGTTGAACCGCTTCAAAGAACTGTGTGAAATTAGCAGACCTGTTGAACTCAACCCATCTCTCCAACGTTGAGAGGAAGTGTGATGTCTCAGCATCGTCAAAGGCCCTTCTGTTGAGCTTCTTGGATGGTTCAATTTTGATAGCATCAACCCGTTCTTTGAAAGACGCAAACGTATAACGCTTTGTGGATTTGGTGGACTTGACCTTCATTGTGAAGCGCTTGTTTGGAAACCACACTTAGAAACTAGCCGCTCTTGTTAAAAACTGGTCGTCTCAATGGGTCTTTGTGGCGTTGGAATTGTTGCCTTTGTGGTCTTTGTTGATGGGCTTTTGTGTCTGTTTACGATTTTTTTGTGGTCTTTGCTCTGTTTAAAATTTTTTCTTTGAAACCGCAGCGATGAGATGAGCTCAGAAGGAAGAAAAAATCTAAGCGAAAAATATTTTTCGCGAACACGTTTTGTAGAAAATGGTTTTTTATGACGTAGTGTGGTGTTGGGAAGAGAAGATTACTGCAAACAGATTCTACCACACAGGTTGTGCTGTTTTCAATATATGGAAGAAGGTGGATATATAAGGAGGTGAAGTTGTGGAATAATGAGCTCATCTGAGACTTCAAGGTTGATATCAAATGATGAGCAGCCCTCAAAGGCGTCCAAACAATCACAGAATGTCATCAAACCGAGGATTCCAGAGAAGAAGCTTGGTCCTCATAGAACTTCAAGGACTTCGCAGAAGTTGAAGATCTTACCGGAGGAGCCATTGCCGGATGATCCTTCTTCCAACGATAGAGACGTCTATTCACAAGTGAGTAGAATCACAGATACATCTGCGAGAAGAGATGCAGAGAGGCTAGGTAAGAACCAAAGGTCGCTGTTACCTAGAGTCACTGCATACTGCAGTGCTGGTAGCTACAAGATGAAGGAGCTGGTAAGGTGGTTGAAAGATGGGAAACGAACACATGGTACTCATCCTAAACTGTTCGATGAGTGCCTCTACTCTCCCTTTGTGTATAAGGATTGGAGAGGTGATAAGAGAATGGATAAAGATCTCATCAGGCTAGACGATGAAGGTGGTGAAATCACCATAGACGACACACACACTGACGTTTTCATATTTGAATACGGAGTTGTCGTTCTATGGGGGTTCACACTGAGAGAAGAACAGGCGTTCCTATCAGACTTGGCCAAATTTGAGAATGAGAAACTGGCACTGGAAGACGTTCAGGTTGAAGAGTTCAACTACTACATTACCAAATCCTACCAGCCTAGAATCTACAACGATTTCATAACGCTAAGGGATGGCTCAAATTATATGATTAAACTCTCAATATCGCATGCTATTTCACAATCTGTCAAGATCTCGCTATTCGAAGAACTTGTGGATAACACCATCGAGGATACTCAGAATATCCCGCAGCAGATTGCGTCTGCTGGTAAAGTTGGTATGACAAAGGATGAAATCATGAAGAGTATTGGTGAGCTGTTTATTCTTAGAATCAACATCAACTTACATGGCTCAGTTTTGGATTCTCCAGAGATTATGTGGGCTGAACCTCAACTGGAACCGATTTATCAAGCGACAAGGGGGTACTTGGAGATTAACCAAAGAGTTGCGCTGCTTAACCAGAGATTAGAGGTTATCTCAGATTTGTTACAAATGTTGAAAGAACAACTGGGACACTCCAATGAAGAGTATCTGGAATTCATCGTAATTATCCTCGTTGGTGTCGAAGTCCTCGTATCTGTTATCAACATCATCGTTGATATCATTGCGGATCTAAAGTGAACTACAGGAAATTCGAAAATCATAAAAAACTTTAGTTATCCACCTAAAACCCCAATTATTAATGTACAAAATAACAGAATAAAACCCTTTGTAATAGAAATGTCAAACACCCACTGTTTACAACTCTTGGGAAGCCTTAGCCTTAGAGGACTTCTTTGGCAACAAGTTTTGGTGAATGTTTGGCAAGACACCACCTTGAGCGATGGTGACGTGACCCAACAACTTGTTCAATTCCTCATCGTTTCTGATGGCCAATTGCAAGTGTCTTGGGATGATACGGGTCTTCTTGTTGTCACGAGCAGCGTTACCAGCCAACTCCAAGATTTCAGCAGCCAAGTACTCCAAGACAGCAGTCAAGTAAACTGGAGCACCAGAGCCGATTCTTTGAGCGTAGTTACCCTTTCTGAGCAAACGGTGGACTCTACCAACTGGGAAAGTCAAACCTGCCTTAGCAGAACGAGATTGAGAAGCCTTTTCAGCAGATCCTGCTTTACCACCTTTACCACCGGACATTGTTTATATGTGTATTTGTTTTGAATTAAGAGATATAGAGAAACTCCTTTCCACAATCCCAAAACTTGCCCTTCTGAGATGGAGAATCCAAGCTTTTTATATAACAAAACACACTAACAAATTGTACAGCGCCTTTTATGCCTTGTGCTGTTGTTGTCGTGGTGGTTGTTTGTTTTCGTTTCCTTTGTTTACACAAATTGTATGAAACCATGCCCCCGTGCTGTGTTTTACACACCCTATTTGCGGTAAATTTCAGAATGTTGGGACTTGGCAGAAGTGTGCAAAGTTGCAGATCGCGCCTTCTGTGCTGATATTTACACCCTTAAAGCGAGTCTGTCGGTGTAAATTTTGGAATGCAATTATGTAATCACTAGAGATGTTTCCCCCTTTTCAGGAAAAACTCCCAGCGTTCTGATATTTACGCGAGCAAAGGTGTGTAAACATCAGAACGGCAGGTCTGGCACGGTTCAAAACACGCAGCGTAAACGCGTTCACTCGTGGGAATTGTGTAAACAAACCCGATTATTATAAAACGTATTGGACTTCCCACTTTCCTCTGAGCTTTGCGTCTTGACAATTGAACACTTCCCCCGTATACACACCACATTTATTAATTTTGAACAATGGCACCAAAGGCTGAAAAGAAACCTGCTTCCAAAGCTCCAGCTGAGAAGAAACCAGCTGCTAAGAAGACCTCTTCTTCCTCTGAGGGTCCAAAGAAGAGAACCAAAGCTAGAAAAGAGACTTACGCCTCTTACATCTACAAGGTTTTGAAGCAAACTCACCCAGATACCGGTATCTCCCAAAAGGCCATGTCTATCATGAACTCTTTTGTCAACGATATCTTTGAGAGAATTGCCTCTGAGGCCTCCAAGTTGGCTGCTTACAACAAGAAGTCCACCATCTCTGCTCGTGAGATCCAAACTGCTGTTAGATTGATCTTGCCAGGTGAGTTGGCTAAGCACGCCGTTTCCGAAGGTACAAGAGCTGTTACTAAGTACTCTTCTTCTACTTCCGCTTAAGTCTAGCGAAGTTGTATTTTGAGATTACTTTTTATATGTTTTATTGGGGTTTTGTATTTGGTTAGGTAATTATATTTTGTATATTAGGAAAAATCAGTTACGGTTCGTTTACGTGATCTTGTCAAATTGTAGTTTCAGCTCGTTCTGATTTGAGCTAAGGGGAACTTGCCAGGTCTTTACAAACTGCAACCAACTTGGATAGCTTCTAGAGCGCAAATGAAGCCTTTTCCTCCCCAAAAAAAACAAAGTCCAAAACCAACCCGGCCTATGGGGCTCATCGAAAACTGTTTCAAAGATATCTCAAACCAAGACACTGGGCTATTGCTGTTAGTAAATGAATGTATGTGGTCTTATAAAAGAGATAATAATACACAGTTTACTCATAACATCTAGAAACATGGAAACATCCAAATATGAATTCTTAATAGTAGATATTGCTGGTACTAATTTATTGAATTTTAATTGATTAAAGTCATTATAGCTTCTACTTTTCAGAATAAAAAAGTTATTCCAAGTTTTGGGGAAATGGTGTGTATAAATAGCAGAAATATTTTAAAAAAACACAAAACCATACAAAATATCGTGTATTATTATTAGAAGACATCCTTTTATCCATTCTTGCGAGCCAATTATGGGGATTGTTGATACATCAGTCCATAATGCACCTTTTCACCTTTATATAAAGAAAAATCACATTTCTAACGTAATAAACAGTGAAATTTCCAATTTTCGAAGATGGTTGTATAGTGTAGTGGTTATCACTTTCGGTTTTGATCCGAACAACCCCGGTTCGAATCCGGGTACGACCTGTTTTTTTTTTGGATGAAATATTAAACAAAGAACAACGATCTCTTCGTAAAATGATATTAGATTATGGCCATGGGGTCATTCAGTACTTGGTAGACATATGTGATAATGTAGATAATCAATTTTTTATGATCTGTGTGGTGATAGTTGTAACAATGTAGAACTATTTCGAGGCACTAGTAATACTGGCGTGATCCATCGACGATGTCGATATCATGATCTTTTAACCTGTTTTATTCATTAAGGTGTTCTACCAAAGCTTTTATAAATAAACCGATAAAACTTTAAACCAAACCTATATACTGTAAACCTTTTAAACCCCAAAAATCGAATTGAATAATAAAAAACTCCCCTATCTTTATTCATGCCCAGATAGATGGCAAGTACAGATCATCAAACTTTTCCTCTTGCTGTAGTACTTGCTTCTTCTGCTGACTTGGATACAATTGACAGACTTTCACATTCACTGGATATGAAGAAGAGCCTGTAGTGTCAATTGAAGAAATCGAATCCATAGAGGAAGATGAAGAAAGAGAGGAGATTGAAGATGCAGACATCGAACGACCATGTTGTTGTTGTTGTTGTTGTTGTTGTTGTTGTTGCTGATACACTGGATACTTTGTTTGGTAGTAGGCAGTTGGAGTGTCCATTGGTGAAGGCAATGGACATTTTGGTACAACGCAGTTGACCACATTTCTATGCTTGTGGATTGCACGACGATAACGTGCTGTTTGTTTCAAGTCCTGCTTGATTGGATCCAGCATTCTCTTGAGAGAACGTGCCAGCTCCTCCTCTGTCACTGTAATATCCCAGTTCATCAACTGCAGTAATTGACGCTCCATGAGGTTAACGTCTTCCAATTTGAACAGGCCATCAGTGTATCTGGTCCAGTGCTTGTTCTTTGGAGAACTATCGTTGTTGAACTTTGCAGAGATGATGAGACACGCCAAAAAAATTCTGTGAAGTGTACATGGTAAGCCTTCAGCATTCTTTGGCAACTTGGAGCTAAGTCTCTCCAAATAAACCTGCGTACACAAAAGAGTGCCAGTGTAGACATTCGTGTATCTGACGATGCGCGAGATGAATGTCATCAAAGATGGCAGTTGGTTTCTCTTTGAAGAATGTGACGAAGGTGAAGAAGGTGGTGATGGATAAGTCTTGGACTTCTTACAAGGCACCACCTTCAAGGTGACGTTGACCAAGTGGTTGATCATCTCAGGCGTAACTGGTGATTTCATCAAGATGTTTAGAGCTTGGGAGTCAGACATGGTTAGTTTCCAAAAGTATAACGAAGAGGTGGATGGTCGCTGGTACACAGAGCTTGAGACAAACCGTCGGTTACAGGAAAACAGGAATAAAGACTCAATTATATATACACAATCCACAAGAAACCTTTAAACTGTCAAGAAACGCGGTACTGATCAAAACAAATAATTATTACCTCACAATTAGATCAAATGTGTGTGTACAGCAATGTGCATCCCCCTTTGAACCTTTTGATATAACTTCTAAAGTTCCCAAACCTTTGAATTGCAACGTTGACACGCCGAAACGCGCCTGTGCGTGTCTCAACCGGATCCCCCTTGCGTGACGCGTCTCCTTCTGCTCTTTTGAGCCAACAAAGTGGACGCGTCGTGTATGGGCCTGGCCATAAATCTTGTTGTCCTTCGGAAGCGCTACACCTTACAGCTTCTTTTGAGCTCCGGACCTTCTAAGCTTAGACGTCGTGAAAGGGTCAAGCGACAAGATAGGAGGCTATGCTGAGTTGGTTTCTGTATCCCTATTCTAAACCTTTAGCAATTGTTCTCCGTGAGATCCATCTAAGCCTCTTGTGTGCATTCCGTGCTGAAGCCAATTGAAACCAAGTATGTAAAAACGAGTCTTCGAATATCCAGGCTTTGGTATTTGGTAAAGCACCGTGTAGTTGACCTTCTGAAGTATATCAACGTTGCCTTGCAAATGCGTCTGATGTATGTATAACACTTATAGCGAGCGTATATGGATTGGAACGCTTGAGTAAATTACTCACAGCTACTTTGCCAAACAGGGGATATAAGATTATGTACGGTGTACACAATAGGTTCTACACACCAGCTCTTCTCCATTTTACATGAGTTACCGGTGGTGATTACATTACCACATCGAGTAATATGTTCTCCATGTCGGTCTGGTCAGTGCCTGGTTTCCCCTGTCCAATGTTAATTTCACGCGTCGGACCAAAAGCGTGAAAGAAAAAAAATAGCCAAACCGACGCGTCGAATGCAGAACATGCCCATAAACACGCGTAATAATAGACTTATGGTAACGAAGATTAAATAGGAAACACCCATCTCAAAAAAAAGAAAAAACTGTTCAAGTAATCGGGTGTGATTTGTTTCCAGTTGCTTGCGTGCCGATCTTCGACTTGAACCTCAAAGCCTCTTCTATTATGGGTCATTGACTGATAACCTCACACACAATCACTGCTTACTCCTTCAAGTTCTAGAACAAACAGCACGCACAATGTATTGCAATTGAAACTAAAGAACAACAATTCACGAATCCGCAACCTTCTCTGGATAAGCCACCGTGGACATCTGGAGCCTCCAGCCCGTGTGATCATTATGAACCATCACAGCCTACAGGTCCTAAAAAACACGAATCCTCTCGAAGAGTTTTGCCCTAACAAAAAAGAAAGCTGCGAAGATAAAAATTTCGCAAAGAAATAGCGCCGATGAAATTTTTGCGCTGGCGGAGACGACGAAGTATAAAAAATTTTTTCCGCTTTTCGATTTCTTTCCATTTTCACAACTTTTATCTTCTCTTCTTCATCATTCTATAAACTAAATGACTTGAAGGGTAAGTTTTTCTTCTCCTGGCGCTTGTGTGTGGGAGGGCTTTTCAAAGATAAACATGCTAGTTGAAATGACGAGAAAAAAGCTGTGCACCAGTCCGACATCTGGAACAAGTACTCCCAGGATATGAGGCATTAAGTATACCCAAATTTCTGATCCTTTGCATGTTTTCCTTGTTGAGCTTCTTACTTACACATGTCTGTGTTTCTGATTTGGCAACTAACAGGTTTATAGATCATGTATATTTTGTTTAAATGGAATGTATCTCTGAATTGAATTCTGAACTCTTGTAGATCACTAGGCCGCAGTGCTGTCATTTTTCACTCTGGACTAGAAGCTGAAAGTGAAGCTGGGGTCATACCAACCAAGTAGACCAAGACTGTTGAGGCTTTGAATAGACACGTGGCTTATCCACAACATACAAAGTTGTGTAAATAATGCCTTTGTCGTCTACAGCAATGGTCCCACTTTGTTCCCGTAGAGAACCAGACCTGTGTTGATGTTCTATTCGGGGCCTAGTTTCGTCAAGTGACCCAAATGCCCAGACTCAGGCTGTGTACCAACTAACATAAGATTTGGTCCCAACATCGGCGTAAGGAAAGTGCAAGACCGAAAGGCCCACTTGAGGAAGTGCTTCATAATGTTGGGGGCTCAAAGCTTCGTTTAACCCTATTATGTCCGTTTGAAGAGAGCACGCTCCATCCACTGCAACTACTCCTATATAAGACAGCTATTCATTACGTTTAGAGCTTAAAGTATAATGGATAATGGGCCTTCAAGCTTGACCCTTCGGATAGGGAACTCCACACAGGAGTATGGTGTAACTTCGGTGTCGTAAGTTGTATGCTAGGCCGAGCAGATGGTGATGATGTTGGGGTGTTTTGTGACACAGAGCCCCCAAACTTGGATCAACAGACCACAACACCAATACACTTGATCAGACCGTATAAGGCAAAGCACTCCAATCAGACCATAAATGGTGAATTGTTTAAACAAGGGATATGTACGAGGTTCTAGGCGATGTCTATTGACGAGGATAATTTCCAAGCTATGAGCTGTATTATTACCAAGAAACATCAAGGCGATTGTTTGGAAGTAAGAGCTATGCATATACAATGTGGGCTCCAATGAACCTTCTTTTACGAAGCTTAGTATAAATAGGCTGGTTGAATTCCAATTTCTGAGGATGCGAGCTTATCTTTATTGTATTGTAACGATACTGAGTACGCTATTATGAATCAAATCATTCGTCTGACGGCTCTCATTGCTTCCTTTATCCTTTCCGTTAAAGCTTCAGCGCACGCTAAGGCCAATGCTGATGCAATTGCAATTGCAGAATCTCTTCCATGGGCGAGGGCAAATTCCCACGCTGCTTCTGCTGCCAAATCTTATGCTCAAGCCTATGCAAATGCTCTGTCAATTGGCTATCCAGATCCTGAAGCCTATGCTTTGGCACAATCAGAGGATCAATGTGCCACCATCGCATGTCATGCCTCTTGTGGACTGATGATCATTGAGGGTCAAAGATGCTCGTTGAATACGGAAAACAGTTTTTGGGGTCCACATAATTCTACTTGCCTGTGTGCTCCGGACTCCCCATTCTTGGAATACTACCCTCCTTGTATGGAATGTGGTTGGACTCTCTGGAAGTACTATTCGGCTTATGTGATAGAGGCACTGCAAGCTTGCGAGACTCTGAGTACTGAACCAACGGGTACGTCGAGATGCTCAACGACGTTGACAGATATATATACACCTGATTGGGAGATTGATGCTTGTCTCTATACAGGAGGGTGTGAAACAACCACCACCAGGGCTGCTGATACTGATACATTACCTGATACTCTGTATACAGAAGAGACAACTTTAACAGAGGGCGAAGAAGAAATAGAAGATACCCAAACTTCATCAGAGCTCGATTCCACAGAGGACAGCAGAGGGACCATTACAGAGACCACCGGAGAGACCACCGGAGAGACCACCGGAGAGACCACCGGAGAGACCACCACACCCGAAGATACAGGTACTCCAGACATTACCACTCTAGCTGAACCGATATTCACCGGAGAGCTTCTCTCTGGAAACGTTCCAGAATGGTCCATCTCAGTTCCCGGAACACTAGGCCCTTGGTCGAATATTGATATTAAAATCACAAAGAATGATATGAACAACATGTTTGAATACTCTCATGCTTCCGTATTTGTCAATGGTATTGAAGAACCATCAGCAACAATAGCCATTACTCCAGATTCCATTGCTATCTCTTTAGATCGCATCATTGATGAGGATGGTGATTTCGTTGTTAATTTCCGAGGTATAGTGGATAAAGGGAATTCTTGGACTTCCAACGCACGCATTACCATCACCACTTTTGACGACGAGGGATTAAGGGAGAAAGCTGAAGTTGTTTATGAGCTTTCTTCAACCATCTCAAGTAATATCCCTGGAAAAGAAGAGTCAATAACCTCGAAATCAACTCTATCTGATGTAGCAACAACAATTATTACAACGAAATCCTGTGATGATGATGAGATATGCTATGAATTTCTTGTGATTACAGGTGTTACCGTCGTTGTGACAACACTAGAAGGGCTGGCGACTAGTTATACCACATATTGCCCGATCGAGTCTGACACAGAGATCAAACCAACACAAGACGAAAATGTCACTATTATCACCACATGCGAAACACATATTTGCTACGAAGTTACAGCAACTTCTGTTGAAATAGCTCCGACAAAACCCCATGAAGTCAAAGAAACGTTACATGTGGGAACTAGCGATTCTCTGGATGCTGAAGGAGAAGAAGAGTACGTATATGAAAATGGAGAGTATGAGATCTGCGAGCCGGATGATGAAGATGACAGTGTAGGTGATGATACTGAAGGTGATGATACTGATTCTCCTAGTGTTATGGATAGTGTCATCCGTACTGGTACCAGCACTGTGGCTATTGTTGATGTTACTGCTGATACTACTGCTGATATTACTGCTGATATTACTGCTGATATTACTGCTGATGTTACTGCCGATGTTACCACTGATGTTACTGCTGATGTTATCGCTGATACTACTGATGTTACTGCTGATGTTACCGCTGATACTACTGATGACACTGCTGATGACACTACTGATGTTTATACTGGAGGTGAAACCGTTGTTGCAGTTCAGAGACCAGAAGATCAACTAGGTCATAAAACTATCGTCAGCGAACAACAAACTCTCGCCAGTACTGAACAACCTCTCGTCAATGAACAAGAAACTTCGAGAGGACCTGATACCTCTTCCGAGGTCCACGCTACTGAAGCTGTTTCCACAGATGTTGTCCTCACTGTGTTTGACGGAGGGGCAACAAACCTTGCCAGCTTAGCCTTGACATCATTTTTGATGGGTATTCTCTTGTTTTAACTCAAATATTGAATTGTATTTCCTCTTTATTTTTTGAAAAGTAACCATTATTGCAACCTGTAGCTTCTTGATGTCTTTCTCGAAAGAGATGCGATAGGTGTTGATGGAACAATTGTGGGTTTTGGAAGAAAACCGAGGCTTCAGAATGACCAACAAGCAGGATGTAAGCGTGGTACCGGGGTTTTTTACTTGGTTATTGATCTGCAACGAATATTGCAGCCTGCATCACGCCTGGTGTGTCCCGTTGACTGTTGAAGAGGGAAGATTGAAGAGTTTTTCATTGATCTTCACCTTGCGTTGACGCACCACTACAGGAAGCTTGAATTACTGCGTAGAGTATTAATTGAATAAAAGAACGCGCAGTTAGGAATGTATTCGTGGTGAAATAATCTGTTTGTATGTCAGTAATTCGTTATCTCGTCGTTTCTTTTCTTCTCCACGCAATTATAGACCTAAGATTCGTTGATATATATGTATAAAAGGTGTGTAGATATGTAAGACTGCCCTATAATTTAAATATACATACCCTTTACAAGATATACATATATTCTGAATCCTGGAGTATATTGTCTCTTACGAGATTGCTAAAAAGGGCTTCGAAGGAATTCTGAGGTTGATTTAGGAATGCTCGAAAAGCTGGATGCAATGCAACGGTTACGCCGCATCCCTTGTTGATCTTCAATTATGGGACAAGAAGGGGGAAAATTGGAAGAAGCAGATCGTGTATTTTAGATAGAATTAATATTGGCAGGCCAATTTGCAGTTTTAGCGGAATATTTATTTATATAAGTAGGAACAGAAGCACTCACACTCATCAAATATTGATGTACAATCGTCATTAGGGTTCAATGCTGCCGGAAAACTTACCTACAGAGATACGAAAGTTTCCTAGAAATACATGGAGATTGGTTAAGCTTCGAGAGAGGTACTTTCGATTAATTGATGAAGCTAATGACAGTGGCGCAAAAGACTTTGAGAGAGAGTCATCGATAGCTGATAATTCGATTGCTTCATCCTTTGATGACTCTTTGTTGAAGTCATCACGGATTTCTGATAGAACAGGTGCGTTGATTATGGGACCTAGTTGTACTGGAGAGAGTTTGCTGTCAGAGTTGACGATAAGCGAGGGTTCTTCGCTGATTATAGATTTCGATAATAAGGCTCTAGACTGAACAAACCTATCAAGAGATATCCTGACTTTGCTGATGGACTGTAATTATGCACTACGATGCAATAATTGGCCTCTGCGTAAGAATTGAAATGTGAGAGATTGACACTACGTAGACAGATCAACTAGAATGTTGGTGTCTGAACCCATTACCTGACCATACAAGCCACATAAAGAAAGATATCCAGTAACTGTATGAGAATCTCCACAATCTTTGAGTAAGTTGTTTGGGACTGACATGTCATCTTGACGTTGATGATATTGAACTGGTTCTGCTGTATTGGTCCCTTGTGAAACAAGATAACGCATTTATGAATTCAGAAGGCACTTCTCCAAGGCTCGGGAGCAGGCGCCGGTGACTACTGTGTTGAGACCTTGGCACCTCTGTTGTTAGCCACCAAAGTATTTGGTCTATTATTCAGCTAGTCCCCGGTACTGGTGTTGTGAATAGGCCTCCACTACTACTACTACTGCTACCGCTTAGTAAGCAACTTCTTTGAATGATTTGTTTACGTTTTTTCACGTTTCAGTTTTAGGCAGAAGCGCACGGCTGTTCTTTTTTTACCTTCGTCGAGACAAAAAACTTTCCCCTTCTGGTAAATTTCACTATTTTTGGCGCTTTTCCCTCTTTTGTTTACCTTAAAATACAACAGATCTAAAGGGAAAATTAGCGAGCAGTGAAAAGGAGACGTTTTTGTGGTCTTTGCTCAAAGGACTTTTACATAAAAAGGGTAAACAACAAGTTCTGTTGCTATATAAAACACACAAGACCTCGTCATTTCATTGCTTGAAACGTTGGATCCGCTATCGCCATGTTCCATCGAGACGGATCTATCAAGAGAAACAACTCGAAGAGGAAGCAGCGTTACGATACCTTTGACGATGAGGCGCTTCTGCCACATTCACAGTCACATAGCAGTGGTCTGGAGAGGAAGGTCTCGTTGGTGAGACCGGAAAGAAACAACTTGAACAACCCGGAGAATCCGCACTATTACTATGCACAGGTTGCTGCTCAAGAGCAGGATCACTTGCAGGTGAACCCGTCCAGCACTGGTGTTGATCCTATTGCGCTGGATCGTTCTGCTAGTAAAGGGAGCAGAACGTCGAGACTGAGGCTGCCCGAAGAAGAGGATGAGCTAGTGGGGGCGTCTGGCGATGCCACGACGACGGGGATTGAGCTTAATGATTTGTCCAACGAAGACTCCGAGACTTCGTATTCCGGCCCATCTAAGGGCAGAACAGTGTACGGGTTGAACGATGAGTATGAAAGTCCCTTTAAAAGCTCAGGAATCGGGAGATCTGCATCTTCAAAGAATGCAAAATCTGCTAAGAAATCATCGGAAAACAAAGAGGAGAAGAAATTATCATTTTGGAGGTTGTACTGTTATGTCATCACCTTTTGGGCTCCAGGATCGATTTTAAAGCTGTTTGGAATGCCTAAGAAAGATCAGCAAATGGCTTGGAGAGAAAAAATTGCATTGATCACAGTTATCTTATACATGGGTACTTTTGTTGCCTATTTGACGTTTGGATTTACACGTACGGTGTGCGATAGCAGCACTTCAAGATTAAGGAATAACGAGATTAATTCTGGTGTATTAATCATCAACGGTAAAGCATACGATTTGACAAGTTCGTCACATCCTGCTGCAGCGGGAATCACTGCAGGTACCAACGTTTTATACCCTCCAATTAACGCTGGTGGAATGGATGCCTCATTCTTATTCCAGAACGTCAACGGTAACTGCAGAGAACTGATCACTCCAAGAGATAACTGTACCATTCCAAATGATGATGGCAACTTGGCCTGGTATATGCCATGTAAGTTGTTCGAACACGATGGTTCAAGTACTCCAAACTTTACCTATAACGGATATTACGATGGATGGGCTTGTCATACTTCACAATCCGCAAGAGATGCTTATTACGGATTGACCAGCGTTGGTGACGTTTATTTCACATGGGATGACGTTAAAAACTCTTCAAGAAACTTGGTTGTTTATTCTGGAAACGTGTTAGATTTGGACCTCATTGATTGGATCCAGTACACTGATCTTGAATACCCAGCATTGTTTGACGAGTTAAAGGAATCCGATATGGCTGGATACGATGTATCGCTTCTGTTGGCAAATTCGGCTGATAAAAGAGCCGCAAGATGCTTGTCTGAAATTGTCAAAGTTGGTGTTGTAGATTCCGAAAGCGTTGGTTGTATAGCTTCAAAAGTTGTGCTTTACGTTTCATTGGTGTTCATCTTGTCTATTGTTGTTGTGAAATTTGCATTTGCCTGCTATTTCAAATGGGTTGTTGCTCCAAGACAAGGTGCAGACATCGTTGACTCAAAGACAATGAACGAAAGGGACAACGAAAGAGAGGATTGGGCTGAAAATGAGTATTCTTTGGGACCAATCAGTGAACCGAACTTGACTAAGCGTTCGTCGAGATTGGACTTCCTTAAGAACAACAGATTAAGCATGTACGATCTTGATCAAATCGCAGACGGTGATACAAATATGTATAATTCAAGTGATAGTGGAATGACAACAATGGCTCTTCAAGCGGCAAGACAGAATCAAATGGAGGCTAGGAACAGAACACTCACGAGACGTACTTCTCATTTGGATCTGACGCCATTTGGATCTAAAAATCCATCAGTATCAAATCTCAATGCAATGATGGAAATCAACGACTTGGACCCAGATGTTATTCATCCAAATGTTGTTCCCCAACCACCAGCAAATTTCCAACCCTTTGGTTATCCGTTGGCCCACACTATGAACCTAGTCACTTGTTATTCCGAAGACGAAGCCGGTTTGAGAACTACACTTGACTCCATCGCAACAACAGACTATCCAAACTCTCATAAGTTGATTGTTATTCTTTGTGACGGTTTGATCAAAGGTTCGGGTAACGATAAAACTACACCTGATATTGCATTGTCAATGATGACAGATTTTGCAGTTGAACCGGAGAATGTTCAACCGTATTCTTACGTTGCTGTGGCACAAGGTACCAAGAGACACAACATGGCAAAGGTATATGCTGGCTTCTACAAATACGATGCTGCTACAGTACCCCAAGAGAAACAACAAAGGGTGCCAATTATCTGTATTGTAAAGTGTGGTACTCCAAGTGAGGCTAACTCCGCTAAACCAGGTAACAGAGGTAAACGTGATTCACAAATCATTTTGATGTCATTCTTACAAAGAATCAAATTTGATGAAAGAATGACAGAGTTGGAGTATGACATTTTGCTTAACATTTGGAAGGTTACTGGATTGCTTGCTGATATGTATGAGATTGTTCTTATGGTTGATGCTGACACAAAGGTTTATCCAGATTCTTTAACACATATGGTTGCATCTATGGTCAAAGACCCTATGATCATGGGGCTCTGTGGTGAGACAAAGATTGCCAATAAACGACAATCATGGGTTACTGCAATTCAAGTCTTTGAGTACTTCATTTCACATCATCAGGCAAAAGCTTTCGAATCCGTATTTGGAGGTGTTACTTGTTTACCAGGTTGTTTCTGCATGTATCGTATCAAGGCTCCAAAATCTTCCGATGGATATTGGGTTCCTATCTTGGCCAACCCTGATATTGTGGAAAGATACTCTGACAATGTTGTTGATACTTTACATAAGAAGAACTTGTTGCTATTAGGTGAAGATCGTTTCCTTTCCACTTTGATGTTGAGGACTTTCCCAAAGAGAAAGCAAGTGTTTGTTTCCAAGGCTGTCTGTAAGACTATCGTTCCTGATAAATTTAAAGTGTTGTTATCTCAAAGAAGACGTTGGATTAACTCAACAGTCCATAATTTGATGGAGTTGGTTCTTGTCAAAGATTTGTGTGGTACGTTTTGTTTCTCCATGCAATTCGTCGTTGGTATAGAATTGATCGGTACGTTGGTTTTACCAGCAGCCTTGACCTTTACTCTTTACGTTGTTATTGTGGCTATTGTTTCCAAACCAACCCCTGTTCTTTCTCTTGTTCTTTTAGCTATCATTCTTGGTATTCCGGGATTACTCATTGTTGTAACAGCATCACGCTGGTCATACTTGGGTTGGATGGTGATCTACCTTGGTGCCCTTCCAATTTGGAATTTTGTTCTTCCTTCTTATGCATACTGGAAGTTTGACGATTTTAGTTGGGGTGAAACCAGAACCATCGCTGGTGGCGATAAAGGCCACGAAGATGAAGGTGGTGACTTTGATCATTCCAAGATTAAAATGAGAAGATGGAAAGAGTTTGAAAGAGAGCGTTTAGCAGAAAGTGATGGTCTCGCGGTTCCACAAAGCACTTGGAATCCAGCAGATCACAAGGGACCTTATGTTGAAGTGGATGAGGCTTAAGAAGGCCGATTGGCGTCCATTTTGACTTATTATTTACATTTACATTTAGTTTCTTTATTTTTCTTATAGAAGCAAAGATACTATATGAAGCATTATCTATTTGAAATCTTGTAGAATTCAGCAGTAATTCTGTTCAATAGATCACCGCAGTTGCTCAATCTTCCGATAAATTGATGGTTATCTAGAATTAACGGAAAAATTTTCAAGAGAGGTTCATATGGAGTGGTATTTTGCCCTTCTAACGACTTTAACAAGTTGTGCAATGAATTCAATGTAGTTTCTAATTCCTTTTGTTGAATTGAGGCAACTGGTGCATGGTTGAGAAGCTTCTGGGAACCCGAAAATCTTTTGATGATCATTACCAAACGACAAAGCATATATGGAAGTGCAATAGTAATCAATTTTTCTGGTCTGTCAAATCGACAGAAGGAGAATAGATCTGTCAAACATACAAGTCTGAATGATATCTCTGAAAGTGGTTCTACCGGCGCCGTAGAGTAGTCTTCAATAGAGAATTTTAAGAGAGCACTTGTGATCTCTGAAGGTGAATTGCAGTTATCGAAAAGGTAGGCCTCAAGTTCGTTGTTCTCATACAACAGAGAGGATTTCAGAGTCGAAGAGATAACCTTTTCAACCAAGTCAGCTGTCAGAGTATCTTGGTCTAGGTGGTCTATAATGACGTTCTTTATTCCTTCATGGAATTCAACACTAACCTTCTCATCAAAGTGAATATTTTTGTAGGGAAGGTTTGTCAAATAAGCATCGATCACCAAGTGCCATACACCATAATCGGACTCAGAATGACTCAGCAATGGAGCAACCTTATTAGAAAGGCACAGAAAAAGATCGAAACTCGCTTTCCAGAGTCCAGATGCGTCTATTCTCGATGAGTGGTCCGAATCCTCAGATTCATATGTGAACACCTCAATCAAGGATCTGAGTATTTTCGAAACAGTCTTCTTTTCAAGCAAACCAGACAGATCCTTAACCGCATATAGCTTTTTCCTTAAAAACCTCAAACCTTCGACACTAGCCGGAATGAAGCATGGAACCTCTTTTACGTTCACATTGGACAATTTTTTTAAGATTCTAGTCCTGGTTTGGAAAGGTAATAAGATGATAGATGAAATCTGGGACAAAACGAGATCGTCATTATCGTTTGAATCAAGCAATTCCAAACACTCTAAGACTGCAGATTGAAGCTTTGTTGGGGTTTCAAAGTCAGAAGTATAAGTTGGTAAGAATGGGAAACGGATGGCGTTGTTGAAGATGGAGAGCGTCTTTTCAATTTCAGACCTTGACAACGTTTCTATTGACGATATGAGCGTAAAACAATTCATCAGCTGTACCAAATTCTCTTGATAGAGATTAAGATCGGTAGACACGTATTTGATTGGTTGGGATGACCAGAATTCAAACAATAGCGGAAAGTTGAACACAGCTTCAGAGTTTTTACTGAGTTCACAAACCTGGAAAAATGATTTATAGGTGACATCAGTCAATTTTGGAACCTCAATCAGCACATACTTATTAAAGTATTTCAAAAGAGCACCCAGATAAGTTGATTTTCTCAACTGGAATAGGAATCGGCAATAAATATCCGTGACCCCCTTGATAACAATGATATTGCTATCTATGAATGTACGAACAGCTTCATTATCAGTAGCCGAGATATCAACTTCAGTTTGTAGCAATCCTTGAAGAACAACATGAAATGTCTTTTCCCAATTTAAACATGATCCGTGAGAGTCCACAATTCTGAAGAAAGTTTGGATCGCACCATTCTTCATCTCTGACCTTGGGTCTTTTGCAACACTTACAAGACTCCCAAGAGCATAAAGCCATAAACAATGCACAACAACAAATTTCGTTTCACCAGACTCAATGAGTTTCAGTAGATCTTCTTTGCTCTGAACTGAGAAAGAGGTCTCGGCACTATCTACCACACTGCCACGATAGTACTCTGACAACAACCAATAATAACTCACAGCTGAAAATGAAATATTGAGGTCAAAAGTTTGAGAGCAAAACCTTTCCAATACATCGATAACGTCCTTTGTCGCCTTCAGGGGAATCGATTGAAGGAAATCATTCATCACTAGTTGAAGTATTTCAAAGGAGGATTTCAAGAGCTGCTTCTGCGATTGTACATTTTGAGTTTTTTCAAAGTACGCAAATGGGCTGCCAATGATATGAACAATTATCTCCCAAGATACAGTGAACTTAGCACCATAACGATCTAGCAGTTCATGCAAAGTCTTTAAAGTGCCGTGAATAATATCCGAATCAGCTGTTGAAATATAATCGGTATTCTGAGTTTCTAAGATCTTATCCACAACTTCCGAGAATGATTGAAATAATTGTTTCTCCAAGGCAGCACTATCAACACTATTGGAGTCAAAACCAACTTTAGCAATCTCCAAGATACTCGAGTTAAAAGTCGATGAAGCAATCACTCTGAGTTCTGGTGTGGCCTTACTTGTGGTAATGATGTCTGATAGAAAGGAGGCGAGTAATTTCCAATCCTCACTGGAGGCCTGTAAATATCTTGTAGCGTTCAGTCTGGAAAGGATGTCAATTTTTCGAAGGAAGAAATCTCTATTGTAAACACAAAGAACAAAATCATCTATGAATGGCTCTGTAGAGACCACGTCGCTCAAGACAGCTTCTTTACCCAAAGTGACAACCATCTGTACAAAATCTTGATAATCACGAGGCTCATAAGCCGTTGTACTCTCGTCAAGCTTAGTCAAAGAATTTTCGACAAGTTTCAAATCAACCGCTGCCAGATCAGGCTTTGGTGGGACATCTCTCAAACCAAGGTATGGTGATGGACCCTTGATAAAGTAATCAAACCATTGAAAGGTAATAAGGATAAACCTCAAACTCTCTTTCAAAACCGGTCCCAATGAGACAGTTAAGCTTATCAAAGCCCTAAAACATATAACATGTCTTGTATTCAGATATCTCTGAGGAAGCTTCATCTTCTTCATCTGAGATGGGTGTGAAAATGCGTTGATGGCCTCTGTTACGGTACCAGCGATCGTTTCACTCACAGATGCTCTCTTATTCTTAACAACGTTACTAATCGTTGCTATGGAGAACATTAGAAGCAGAGAGTCTCTTTCCTTTGACAGGCCGAGGAATCCAGCCGCATGGCACAGTTTTTGTAAAGCTCTAATTAGGGAATGGAACACATCATTGCCAAAACATGAGTACAAAAATTCGGTCCCTATCGTTACCAAGCTTCTTGCATTGTTTTTAATCAGAGATTTGAGTTCTTTGACACTTTTAGAGTTGTTTGTTTCATCCTTCAAGAACACAAAGCTTCCCTCACCAGATGTGGAAAGCTTCAAAGCCTCTTTCCCAACACCTTCACAAAGGTTGTTAGTACATGTGAGTATTAAGAACAATGTGTACGCTTTCGGAGGTTGGGGTGCTTCATTCTTGTCCAATATTTCCATAAAACGAACTTTTGGAGTAGAGTTTGCCACTGTTAACGCGACTGAAGGGAGTGGAATGGTGACAATTTCATTACTGTTCAGCAAAGCTTTCACCCAGCTCTCGCTCAAGATCTCAGAACAAACGGCCAGAAATTCAGTAATAATTTCTTTCTTGTCCTCTCCAAAGTCATAGGTTTTGTAAATGCTCATAGTTAAAGCAGAATCACTTAATATAGAAGAAAAAATCTCAAGTGAAAGAACCTTTTTCCATATTGGCAAACTTGATTCAGAGGTAATTGCATGGGTCAACAAAGAGAGAATCACTTCTGCCTCAATTTCTAGAATCGAGAGTTGCGACTTTATCAACAGCAGTACGATTCTTGCCACTCTGACGACAATGGTAAATTGCCTTTGGTTTGCAAAAGTTCTGAGAAGTAATGGTGTTAACCTGGTTCGCAACAAGAAACCAAGTTCGACGTGCGATAGGAACAAGTCTTTAAAGTTTGTGAGTACCATTTCTAATAGTTCGAACCCAAATGACTCTGGGACTGTATTTTTTGGAAGAAACTCAGGCTTCTGATGTTCAATGAGTGAGCAAAGATCAGAGAACACCCTGTAAACATCATATGAATTTCTTGAAATATCCAAAGTTTGTCCCTCATCAATTGTTACTGAGACCTCTTTCAAAACCTCTGGATTTTTATCCTCATCACAGACTTTCTCAAAGAGAGATAGTACGATTTGCTGCTCTGTAGCAGATGCCGTATTCATAACCATGGTAACTTTGCTTGGAGTCTGTAACATAGCACACACCTGGAGAAGCTTTACGACGAGATCTCCGTTGAAGAACTCACCATAAACCATGAAGAACATTGGAAGGATTTGAAGAACTTTCAATTGTATGTCTACCGCAAGATGCGTTGCTTCAATAAGCGCATCCAATAGGATATCGATCTTAGAAATCGGCACAGCCCTCGCCTGTATCAGCTTTTGAATAGACGGGATTGCAATAGAGCTAAACTTTGCATTTCTTGATGAACATGACAACAAAAAGGGTGTAATGAAATCAGAATTTTGAGACAGCTGTTTCAAGCGATCCTCTTCAGTACCAGAAAGTCCTCCTAAAATAGCAATTGATCTTTCTGCAGCCTTAAATTCATTCTGTTAGTACAGGTGCACTTAGGTCTTATAGATTTCAATTGAGAACTTACATGCTTAATTTCAGCATTTCGTCTTCTAGTTTCAGATATCAAGTTCTGCAGCTCCACATTGAGGTACGAAATAGTTGACATATCGGATGCAAATGCCTGATATAGCAGCTGGGTTCTATACTATTAGTTGTTGATGTTGTTATTCTTGATTGTTATTGTTGTTGAATTCGCGAGGTTGGGAAATCGCACTCCCCCCCGCTCAAGCCGGTGTCCGGGTGTTCGAAATGACGTATTACCAACCCACTTATGAATGTTTATGACGACAAATATAAACCACACCCATTTCATAAATCTGGGCTAAATAAACCATCCAATACTATATAAAAATCATGAATCATTACTATTAGTTCTCCACTGGTCCATATCTCTTGATGAACCTTCATTTAGGCTTAGAGGGGAATCATAGTCCGTTCTCCCCGTGGATTCCAAGCTCATTTCATTGTCGCTATCACACACAACTTCCTTATTAGAATAAACAAATACTTCTTTTCTCGTATTAGTGAGAAGTTTTTTCTTTCTTGCATCTTCCTCTCTGCTGTTAGCACTTACAGATCGTGGTACGGCCAAACCGTACGCAATGATCTGATCTGTAAAGTATAATAAGGTATCTGATGTGTACTGAAGAGTGTCCCTCAGCCTTTTGCGCATTTTACCCGTTGCTGAATACAGAGGACTAGTCCCCTTCGCATTTTGTAACTCTGGGGAAGGATTACTCGATCCACCAGGCTGGTCATTATCGTCTGGTGTTGTTCTGTTTTCCTCTGTATCGTTTATGAGTCCATATCGAGTAATGTCATGGTACTCCTCCTCGTATATTGGTCTCCCCAATATACCCTCAGTTTGTTGACGACGTTCAAGAGCATGCAACCTGTTTATCCATTCCCACGGGATCACAGTGACACTGACATAAATTGTTGTATTGAATACTTCGGACAACTCTGAAACCCACACATCTGCAATATCAGCGACAAAAAAGGCAAACTGAAAGTTTATAGTTAGGAAAGTGAGTATTGTTAGAAGTACTATATCTTTGTGGAAGATGAATCTCCTTTTCCCAACACCGTAGATAATGATCAGTCCACAGTACATCATCGAAAGTGCAATTCTTAATAGGTACGTGAAAGCAGGCAAGATTGAGATGTCAGAGTCAACAGTTTGATCAAAGTTTGAAAATGATGAAACACCCCAGATAACTTGTGCTGATATGAGTAATGTTCCACCAAGTATGAATCCTGCTCTTTTCTCCTTCACCCTATTGAATAGTCTCATAATCACCTGGACCTGAGCAAATTGCGCAACCAAAACCACAACAAAGTCAATACTTCCAAATACGCTATCATCTTGAAGTTCATCCAATAACTCCTCACCTGATGCATAACCCAAGTCGTGTTGCCTGCTAAGCTCTACTATACCTCTGCTGAAGAGAATAATCAAGTTTACAGACCCCAAGAAACTGGAAACTCTGAGAAGCCAACTGGGCCTTTGCGTGTGGTTAGTGAAAACGATTATGGTCATAAAGATACAAATCACCGTGGCTACCGTGAGGGAGTATATGAGGGGATAGACACTGTACTTGAAACTTCCAGTCTCTGTCTGTGTAAACTGCCTCCACTGTTCCTGAGCAAAGGGTAAATGTTCAGCACCTATAGATGAAAACGTCGATAATAGAGGAGCTTTCGAATAACAACGGGGTGTATAATAAGCATAATCAGCAGATTGTATCTCATGCCTAGCATTTGAAAATATGAGAAACCCATCACCAAGCTCTAACCCTTCACAGATCTGGTACTCCGCTCTCTGTTGTGGATATCTCCATACCACGCTGGAACCAAACACCATTGGACAGGGGCCTTCCTTTTGTAAACTTTCGAATTATTGACCACGATGAGCTGGGAAGTTATGCTATGTTGACTATCTGTTAAGTACCGAACGTGATCTAATAACACCAAAGATACGCTTCAGCTTAGAACTCCGAACGCACCTGTGACGTTTATCAGTAATTCCAAGGCCTGTTCATGTGGTTTTTATACTCAGCTCGCCTTCTTCTTTGGGATATTTGTTTCGCAATTTTCTCCCTCTCCTTCCAGCGGCTTGGTGTGTATGTTTTCCGCAAATTTCCATGCGGCGCACAGGCGCACAGCGAGGACGAAGAATCGAAATAAGAGTAAGCCAGAAGGATTAACAAGGAAAAGAATAACAAATAGAAGAAACAGAGGGAGAGAACGTGCAACAGAGAGCGTGAGAGAGAGAGAGAGAGAGAGAGAGAGAGAAAGAGAGGAAGAGACAAGGAGCCACTGCCTGTCTATTAACTTAACATAGAGAATTATTGACTGAAGAAGAGCAGACTTGCCAATAATTGTTCACAAGATGACTGATATAAAGCCGAAGTTCAGAGATGAGGCCATGTCAAGGTCCCATGGGACGTCTCTTCCCAATTTGCCACAGTCACAAACGATGAAAACACTACCGGTGGCTCCAATGGTGAAGCCAAGTGCTTCAATGGTATCACTCCCTAAATTTGATTTTGTGAAAGATGACCAAGTAGACTCCTTGGACCCCACTTTGACAAACAGCTCTAAAAAGAGACATACGTTGCTACAATCACCTTCAACTCAATCAATCCAGCATTCTAGTTTAAGCTTGATTGACATGTACCGAGATCAGTCAAGTGGTTCTCAGGAATCTGATACCGCCACAGATATCATGGCTTTGAACGTTAGTGGGGCAATGATCTCTGAGGTATCACTTATCAACGGATCTCAATCCACATTTGCATCTGCTCATGACTTATTGGTGCTGAGGAACTCCAGAACTAATGGGTCAAAAGTGAGACTCTGTATAGAAGAGAGTCGTACAGTGATATCATCAAATCGTGATAGATATGGGTTCAAAAAAGCAACAAATTTCATCACTGAAGAACAGTACAATAATTGGTGGATCGGATACGCCAGTCATTGTGCCAGAAGAAAGAGAAAATGGCAAGATCTAATGATAAAGAATGGGTTAAGTCTAAATAATGATAGCCCTGTTAGATTTCCTGCCAGATCAGAAAAATTGAAAAGATATATACGGAAGGGTATTCCAGCAGAATGGAGAGGTAATGCTTGGTGGTTCTTTGCGAAGGGCCCAGAAAAGCTGAAGAATAACCAAGGTGTTTACGATACTCTCGTTGAGAGTACTTTGCATTTGAAGAACAAAGATACCGAGATCATTGAAAGAGACTTGAACAGAACATTCCCAGATAATGTCCATTTTAAACCAGATAGAGTTGATAGTTCACATGAGTCCAATGAGGAGACTGCATTAATCGAAGCCTTACGAAGAGTACTGGTAGCATTCTCTGCTTATAACCCCAAAATTGGGTACTGCCAGTCGTTGAATTTTATTACAGGTCTGCTATTGATATTTATGGATGAAGAGAAGGCGTTTTGGATGTTGGTAATCATAACAACTGGATATCTTCCAGGTGTTCATGAAGTTAGTCTGGAAGGTGTTAACGTGGATCAAGGTGTATTGATGCTCGCCTTAAAGGAATACTTACCAGAGGCTTGGAATGTCGTTTCAAACATTAGATTCGACGATCAATGCTCGGGTCGAAATGATTTGAAGAACCACGATTTCCTGCTCAAATTACCACCTGTTACACTCTGTACTTCTAGTTGGTTTATGAGTGCATTTATCGGAATATTACCAATTGAAACAACGCTGAGGGTATGGGATTGTCTCTTTTACGAGGAGTCAAACATATTGTTCAAAGTTGCTCTGTCCGTTTTCAAACTGATTGAGCCCAAAATCCAACATATCAATGATGAAATGGAGGTGTTTCAAGTAATTCAAAACACTCCCAAGTCAATATTAGACCCAAAAGATTTGTTCGATATCATGTTCAAGAGAAGGATAGGGTTCAATAACTTGACGCAGGATGAAGTTGTCAGATGTAAGAAATATGTTGCCGATAGAAGACAGAGGGCACATGTTGACGGTACTTCTGATACCGGTGATGTGAATTTCAATAGACAGTTATTAGCCGAGTCTCTATGGCAGCCAGATCTGTATGGGTTTAAAAGGGGATTGCCAGGTGTTCATTGGAACAATAATCTTACAAGAAAGATGAAATCAAAGATTAGAAGAAATAACAATCATAGCTGAATTTCGGATACTTGACAGAGAAGAAAACACTCTTAACATGGAGAAAAAAAAAAGAGATATTACCGCATGTTTGAGCTAAATCAGAGAGAAAAAGACATATAAAAGCGTGGAATTGTTGATTAACTGTTCATTTATTTAGTAAGTTCCCATCCATCTTGTAGTCTTTGGATTATCGCTTTGGAGTCTATACCCTTGGACTTTAAGAGTTGTTCAATTTCATTCCATGGAATGGCAACTTCGGTTGATTCTTCTGGCTCAGGTGTAGAGACCTGCGCTGGGGTAGTCGATGGTGTTCCAACAATCGCAGTAAATTTGACCTCACTATTATCATCTTGTGCAATGTCACTAATCAATGATGAATCGTGTATAACTTTACCCTTCAGCAACAATTTTATCTGTGATGGTTCTAGTGAGCCAACGTCAGCCTGAACGGATTTGCAAAGATCAGTTTTAACTTGATAGATTGTATCAGTCGACTTCACTTGTAATGTGACGTTGAACTTTGGTTCTTTAATAGACTTGAAGACACAGTCATGTAAAGTAGCATTGGATATTGCACTATGTTTAGAAGAATCGGACTTCTTAGCTATAGGTAAATTTGGAAGTTTAACACCAAGCCCTCTCACGTCTTTGAGGTCCTTCTTGTAATCAGATGGAAACTTGGTCTCACCAAGTGACAAGAGTGTTAGATATGATGAGGCAAATTCCTTTTCAGAAGACGTTGATACTGTAACTGTAGCCATTACTTCCAATGATTTATTTGTTATGATAAGGGTTGATCCTTGAGAAGGCCATCGTTTTCAACAACTTTTTTTTTTGTTTTTGTTTTTGTTTTTGGGTTTCAACATTTTGGAGCTCTAGATAATTGATCATGAGAAGAAGGCACATCTTAGATTCATGACTTCAAATACAGCGATGATACCATCATTCACCCCCTCAATGAATCCGTCTACCAAGGGAACGGATCATGGAGTAGAGGATGGTGTCACTGGAGAGAAGTTACTGTTTTTTAACTATCACGAATACTCAGTAAAGAATTACAGGCTAATTGGGGAGAACACGGAGGACTTCCATGAACAAGCACTCATAATCACACATTTTCCCAATTTTCACGTTCCAAGAGATTCAAACACCTTTGAAGGTACAAGGATAGTACGAATATCAAGGTATTTCAAAGGGGTGGGCGTATTCGTTCCACAGTTCTCACCTTACTTACCAGGAACTGAACCTGCAGCCATCTTTGGGGATGATGACACGAATGCCAAATTTATAGTACAGGGGGAATATATGGGACAGTTCTTTGGCACATCATCATATAGCCCACTGTCTGAATATCTAACAGAGAAAGAATTCAGAGAAATTGTGGAGGAGATCAACGTACAATTGAGAGACGCGTACAACTCCTGGTCTCTCATTAACCTTCTACTGTTCGTATTGGATTTGTTGTCTTTCTGGATAATGAGTGACTTAATACATTCTCTCTCTAAAAGGGTATGTACTTCACTGGAAATATCACACTATCCTACTAACTTGTGTAGAAACTAGATGCACTGTTCAATTTCATTGATACGAGAAACAAATCGTTAGAAAAAAGAGGAATCAAAATTATCAGTCCCAGGGATTCAGGGTTTCTATCTGTATGTATTGTATCAACGGTAAAAACTTAAGATATTACTAACACAGGAATTAGCTGGATTTTCAAGTTCCACGTCCAGGCAATTCATGATTCAATGGTCTAAAGTGTTAGGCATGTTGAACAGGCGATTCCGCCCACTTTTGTGGAGCCAATGGAGAAAAAAAAGCTAGGAAAAAAAATTCATAGACAGAGAAACACTTGAGACTCTCAAGCTTTGAGAACGATAACCTCATACACTTGAAAACGGCCTATTTTCAACTCTTTAATGAGTTATTCGGACGCAATGAACGGCGTGTTCGCTATCAACAAGCCTACGGGTATCACATCAGCACAATTTCTGGCTAAAATTCAACATATATTTACATCCTCATCGGTGTTCTCCAAAGATCTTGCACAACTACGTGGCGCTAAGGTTGAACAACTTCAACGTGAGGGTCAAAAGGCCTCCAGAAGAAAGCTTAGAAAGGTTATGAAAGTAAAGATGGGTCACGGCGGTACGCTTGATCCTCTTGCTACCGGTGTTTTAGTTATTGGTGTTGGCAAAGGAACAAAAAAATTGCAAAATTACCTCAGTGGAAGTGTCAAGGTTTACGAGACAGAGGCTTTGTTTGGTGGTGCAACTACTACAGGTGATGTAGAAGGTGAGTTGATTTCGAGGGCTGGAACTATTCATCTAAAGAAAGAAGATATCGATTCAATACCAGAGAAGTTTATTGGACACATCAAACAAACACCGCCAATTTTTGCTGCCCTGAAGATGAACGGGAAGCCCTTGTACGAATATGCCAGAGAAGGATTACCTTTACCCAAACCAATTGAAACGAGGGATGTCCAAATCTATGATCTTAAAATTGCAGATGACACTTTGAGTACTGACCACAAATATGAGTTTATCAAAAATGTTGATTGTGATGGAGAGAATCTCGAGGAGAAATTAGCTACAAACCCGACCTTAAACGACAGCAAGGTTTACTTCTCTAAGGAATATTGTGATAAAAATGGGGTCTCTGAAGATTACGATGTTGGCAAACCTCAACCACTGACTGACGATGAAAAGAACCCCCAATTTAAAGCACCTATGTTACATTTCACCACCAGAGTCAGCTCCGGTACGTATATCCGTAGTTTAATCAGTGATATCGGAAGAGCTTTGAACTCCAATGCATACATGGTTAAGCTTATAAGAGCTGAACAAGCTGAATGGGTTTTGGGTAAAAACGTCTTTAACATTGAAGATTTCGAAGAAAGAGACGAGGCTGTTTGGGGTGCAGTATTGTCCCAAGTATTTCAACAAGGAGGCGAAAATATCAACGATATTGCATCATTGTTTCTGCAAACGGAGGCAAGGTTGAAAGAAGAACAGAACCATGAAGGAGCAACATGTGGTTCACAAGAAGGAGACATTATTGATGCTGAACAACAGCCAGAAGAAAAGATTTCGGCGAATTCTGAAAGCAAAGATGAAGCATCTCATGATGAACTAAACACCAAGAAGAGACCACTTGAGTCTTAAAATACATAAATCTCCTTATCCTCTAAGATCTCTATTGTATAGGAACATACTCTATTTTTATGTACTGCGATGTACACAATATATACATGTAGAGATGTTAAGAGTTTCATATATTTTAGCGGTATTTTTTTTACTCTATTTGGATAGCTTGAAAATAAATATTGGAGCTAGGATTACGACCGGGTTTTATAAATCACGTACATTATGCACATTATCAATTTGTTTTATCCATGTAAAGAACAAAACTGAATTTATCTCAATTCCGCGAAGATTTAAAAACAAAAAAAAACCTAAAGAGACATCGAATAAATGAGTAAAAATTACAATGTCCCAAAAGCCAAAAAAAAACCACAAAAAACACATTAGAATTATTGAACAATGGTTCATAATACATTTCTTCACTAATTTAATACTTAAAAAGTTGAAATATTGAACAGGATGCTGTACGTACCTTAATTAGCATCTATGTTCCATGTTCGATGATTTCTCCTATTATTATGAGTAATAAGAAATTCATATATGATCAACCCAATACCATTTTATATTTCCATTTTCAATGGCACAGCTTCTATCAATAGAAATCCGACAACAAGATGTCTGTGAATCCTAACCACAAGTTCAGCCCCACTGGAATATACAACTGCCGGCTCTTTACAATGATCTGCTTATTTAGGTTTTTGCATATGACAGTGTGAATTTGAGCTATACTAAATTTGCTGGAAATGGGGAATTCTTGAATTGGTTCATAGTCTTTTTATAATTATAGAGTAACTTTGGTTTGAGCTACATACATGTAATTAAGTCGAAAGAACTCAAAGCTTTATAATAAACGCTGGCTTTAGAAATTTGAATTGTATGATATTTCTGGGACATATCGACAGCATTTGAATAAATCAAACGAAAAAAAAACATTTTGATAATAAATTTGAGTAAATAGAGTAATGGTTCCTCAAAACCAACGTAGCGAACTTCGTATTTTAAATAACCAAAGAAGACAAAGAAAGGAAAAAATAAAATAGTATTTGCAAACAAATATATTTTGAAGCTAGGCAATTCTCAAAGCTCTTTAAACATCCAGTACTTTATAAATGTTTTAATGGCCAGAAAGATATTGGGGTTTCAATTCGCTTCAAAGTGTTTTAAAAGGATATGGATTATTATGGAATCAAAGCCAAAGAATAAATCTCCATTGATATCGAAACTCGATTAGACGAGTGGAAACAAAAAAGCAACCCGTATATATATCTATACGAAAAACCTTTGACCGAGGAGCAAGGAGAAAAGGTTGACTAAATGTCTGTTCAGAGATAATTTAGTTCACAAATTTATTTTTTTTAGGATACAATTTTTGCTTGGTGACATTCACCAATTTGTGTTTTGAAAATCGTTTTCTGTTTTACAAAAGAGTATCTCGTTTTTTAACATTCAAAAGATCCATTTCCTTTATTCCCTTAAGGCACACAGCTATAATTTTAACTTTTTTTAACAATGGTAGTGAGAGTGGATATTAGAACAACGTATAGATATATCGAAAACAGGAATGAATATCTAAAGTTCTGATCCAGCTCAAACTTCTTTGATAAATGAAACACTCAATTTGATAGTAGAGGAGTATAAAAGAACAGAGAAAAAGCAGAAGCATAGAGTGCACAATGCATGAAAACATATAAAAGTGAATCCAATAGATGAATAACTTTTCATGTTTCATATTTTTATATATGATATATGGTGGCTTTCGTGTATATCATGTGCTCTCAGTTTGCTCCCCAAGTATCTTGATGTGTACTTCACTAGAGGGGTTGCTTATCTATTCCATATCCAAAGATCATAGAAAAGATATACGTGCTCCTTCCATTTTCTTTTTTTTTTGTATGAGGGAGGGTGATGGTATTAGCAAATATATATTTTGTAGTCTTTTTTTGTATGTTCTCGTGTGTTTTTTTTTTTTGTTTTTTTTTGTTTTTGCATCAATTGTATTAATCCTCCAGTTTCGTAAAACATTTGTCTGTCTATTATTGCTTGCAAGCAAGTTAAGTTTCCCCGAAATATAACTATGAGTTCTCATAACGGAGTGGCGGTGTTTTGTACGAAACATGATCTTTTCGTCAGGTATTCTGGAGGAAACGTGAATACACTATGTGGGAATGTTTATTCCTATAGTCTTAGCCAAGTCATGTTTTGTTAACCTTTAGTTTTATGGGTTCATTGAAGACCTGATTGTTTCAGTTTTTCGATTGAAATTGTTCTTCTGTACATTATATGATGATAGGTTTTGACCTCATATGATCATAAATCATTCTTAAAACTGACATGGAAGATTTAATATATGTTGTTGCAAACCTGTGTATGGTGTAGATAGTTAGAATGATACTAATATGAGTCTTGTTAGTATGGAGAAGATTTGGCTCGTTCTTTTTTTATTGAAAGAGGATATCTCCAAGGTAAAAAAGACATTCTTGCACATAGTCTTGATAAACGTAAAGCGACCTGTAGATCGTTCCTTTATACGTACTGAAATTGAAGTATGTTCTGATGTCATGTTCCTGTGCGAAAAGGTAAACTCTTTAACCTCTGGTGATAAAGAAGTACAATGTCGTGGGGTTTACTGGTGCTGTTGTTTCAATATTCGCAAATTCGATAGTGGTTTCTTCTCAGGTCAATCTAATCTCTAATTTCCTTAGCGGTTTATAACAACTGTGCATAAAGCTTGTGTCGAGAGAGAAATTTGCCAACCTTGCGAATGTGTAGTAGTCCCCAATTTTATTGTATTCTTCATCATTTTGACGAACACCTCTAAGCGACTTAAGATGACAGTTTGTTGCTAAACCTGTCTCTAGTGTACAAAATTTTGCAAAGTTCTCTTGTTCATTTTCTTGAGCTCTCAGATCATCTGCTTTATGGAGTAAGCAACCATTGATGGTCATTGGATAAGCCCTACCTCTTCAATCACCAGTACAGTTAGAGCCTAAAGATGATATCGGAATAATAGTATTGATTGTTTGAGAACATTTGAAAGTGATTGGATCCAATAAGATATCTTTCATGTACTGTGGAGGTTCTTTGAGTACCTCACCGCGTAAAGCGTTGTCCATATCGCAATACTTTTCAAGATCACCTCGATTACACTCCGAGTTCCGTAGTATCTGTGCTCTCCACTGTTGTTGTTTTTCATAAACTGAATCATCATTTTCGTTAAAACCATTGGTGTCATTCTCACTGATGTGTTTAAGGTCTGGACCATGATCAAAACACCTTCACGTCTAATATTTCTAGTACTCTTTCTGCTATTTGTGCTGCATTTTTCGTCTATTTCTTATTCTAGCTGCCATGGTTCCATTATCAGGTTCAGGTCATGGTGGCTGTTATAGTAAATCTGTGATCTCTGTATAGGTATTCTGTGACGGAACTTAGAGGTTTTATGGCCCCATACCTTGCTCTCATATCAGGTCAGTTAGTCTGTCTTGACAATTACTGTGTCTTCTTGTTGTGTCGTATTCTTCATAATTTCGAAGTTGCCGCTGTGGTTCTGGATTAGCCGCTAATGTTTCTTCTTCAAGTTTGAGGACGTTGTTCGATGGTCCCAGTAAGACTCCTTCAAATTCTCTTTGGAAGTCCTCTAGGGATTCTGCTTTTATTTTTTGATGTTTTGTTTGTGGCCATTCTTCTGGGATGTTTCTAATTTTGTGTACAAAGCTGTACTGGTTTTGTGTCATCTTGTGTTGATAAGAATTCAAAATGTAAACAATGCCACCAAGATTGGAAACATCCTTACATTTTTACTATTGCCGAGACAACGAAGAACCAGAATGACACATATATAGAAACATGGGGAGGGGGGGGGGAGGTTCTTTTGGAAGAACCACTGATCCAATCAATCTGAAAGTCAGTATATATGATGATATAGATCGGTCCTTTTGTTTGCGTAACCAGATTTCTCAGATTTTGTTTTGTTGCTGAGATAGAAGCAACTGTATGCGTTTTTCTTGATTTTGCCATATAAACTATGAATTGTTATAACTCAGGCTGTATTGAAGATTACATGCTCACACGTTGGGTATCTCTCAGTTGGAGTATTAACTACAGATCAGTATATTTTGAGGAATTCTGAAGGTCAAAGTGCTAGTTTTATCAGTATTATGCAGATCACAGTCTATGTCGTTCCTGTGTTCGGAGTAAACGTAAAAGCTGTTCTTTTTACGTGGTAATTACAATATACAAACCTTTCAAGTGAAACAGACTATGGTGTTTAACTTTTGAAAAATTTGCCTGTACTGCGTTTTATTTAAAGAGACTTAATACCACCAATGTTAACAGCTTTTATAACAACGTAGTCATCAATACCATAGAGTGAACCTTCTCTACCAAACCCAGACTCTTTGATTCCACCAAATGGCAATGAACAATCTGTGAAGACACCGACGTTGCATGATACCATACCAGACTCCAATGCCTCTGCCACAGAATATACGGTGTCAATATTCTTAGAGAAAACATAAGAAGCGAGACCCACGTTAGAATCGTTGGCCCACTCGACAACCTCCTCTGTAGTGTCAAATGGAACGATAGCACCAAGAGGACCGAACGTTTCTTCGGAGGTGACCTTCATTTCTTGAGTTACGTTAGTGAGGAGAGTTGGAGAGTAAAAAGTTGGGCCAAGATCAGTACGTCTACCACCTCTGACGAGAACTTTGGCACCTTTAGAAAGAGCATCATTAACATGATCTTCGACCTTTTCGATAGCGCGGGTGTTAATCAAACAACCGTGAGTAGATTCTGGATCCAATCCATGACCAATCTTGAACTTGCTGACTTCCTCGGCCATCTTCTTCTCAAACTCCGATAATACGCCACGTTGAACGTAAATTCTGTTTGCACAGACACAAGTCTGGCCAAGACCTCTAAACTTTGAGGCGATAGTTTGTACAACGGCGGAATCTACATCCGCATCATCAAAAACGATAATTGGGGCATTACCACCAAGCTCAAACGAAAGCTTTTTCAAAGTAGAGGCAGACTGCTTCATCAAAATTTTACCAACATTGGTAGATCCAGTAAAAGTAATCTTTTTAACTTTTGGAGACTCACACAGTTTGAGACCAAACTCTGGGGTCTTTGTATGGGAAATGACAACGTTGAAAACACCCTTTGGGAAACCAGCTTTTTCGACAAGATATGCCAAAGCCAATGCAGACAATGGAGTTTGAGAGTCTGGCTTAACGACACAAGTACAACCGGCAGCAAGAGCGGCTCCTGCCTTACGAGTAATCATGGCAGAAGGGAAGTTCCATGGGGTGATAACACCACAAACACCGACAGGTTGTTTCAGAGTAAAGACTCTGTTAGTTGGGTTTGCAGGTTGGATTGTAGCACCATAAACACGTGGAGCTTCTTCTGCATACCATTCAAAATAGGAAGCACCATATTTAATCTCACCAAGAGCCTCTGCATAAGTCTTACCGTTCTCCCAAGTCAAAATCTTTGCTAGGTCTTCGGCATTCTCAATCATAAGGTTGAACAAGTTTCTTAACCAACCTGCTCTTTGACGAGGCGTTGTCTTCTTATACGACTTGAAAGCCTCATAGGC